GGGTGACGCCTCCTCTGCCCTGCAGGTCTTGACTTCCTCACTCCGTTCTTTAAGAGCTACCACAGAGACCATGCTGGGGTGTTGGTGACAGGGCACGCTCTGTGTGAGACATCCAGCTCAGGTTAGACGGACGCCTGTCAGGGATGCTTTAGCTGAGATTCCTGCACTGCCGGGGGTTGGACTAGATGACCCCTGGGGGTCCCTTCCGACGCTACAGTTCTGCGATTCTTCCTGCCTCGGTAGACAGGAGACCATCTTGGGCAACTTCTTAAGCTCAGTGCTGGACTGGATGAGGGAGAATGAATTTAATCTTGATCCAGAGAAGATGCAGGCGCCTCAGGCAGATTGTTTGGCCGACTTTAATTTTGGACAAATGTTTCCTGGGGGTTTAGGGTAAACGCCTTTGATGGGGTCACATAGAATTACAGAATTGTAGAGTTATGGGCCCCCTAGTCTGACTCCCTGCAACGCAGAAATGCCAGCTAAAGAATCCCAGACAGATGGGCATCCAACGTCTGCTTCAAACTCCCCAGTGAAGGAGAGCCCACCTCCTGGCCCCCAATTAAAACAAGCTTGCTCCATCTTCCCTGTGAGGGACAGAGAGAAACACACAAACTCTTTCCACCCCCCTGCCCAGTGGAAGGACTGGAGACATCTTTTCCACACATCCTGGAGGTGGGGAAAGGGCTCTGTCCACACCTTCATTTTTTGGGAGTCATCCAAATGCCCTGGCTGCTCTCTAATGAAGTTGGAGTTCTTGTTATTAAATATACCAAGAAAAAAGCACACCAAGAACTCTGGCCAATATAAGTTTCAATAGTGGGAAAAGCTCGTGATACACGTTGATCTACCCACACTTAGTTGTTATCTCTGAGAAATGTAGGAAATAACAGGATTTATTTATTCAAATTCTTCAACTTACATGACCCCTTAAAAATTAGCTGATGAAGGTGAATACATCGAAACAAGGCCCTGTCCTGGTTTCTGATCCATAACTGACTTCTGACTTCTGTTTTTTGTTTTTTTTAAATGATATTTATTAAAGTTTCAAAAAATACAAAAAATACAGAATACAGAAAGAAAAAGAATAAAGTTTTTAAAATATAACCAAAAAAGTAAAAAATAAAAAGAAACATACCAAATAAAACAGTTAAAAAGACATTAATTTTCCATAACCTATCTTCCTTACACTTATTTCCCCGGACCTCCTCATACCTTCCTTTTTTGTATTCCAGTTCAATTTGTTAGTTCAGCAAATCCTTACCATTAAGCTTTTACCCAGTTGCAAACCTTTTTTCATGTCTCTTAAGGCATTACAGCTAAAAACCTCTTAGTTTCTATCCAACATCCTTCTAAGATTCATTAACTGACTTCTGACTTCTGCTCAGTGATTGAAACTAAGATCTTCATGTCAAATCTGACTATAGACTAACATGAACTTATCTCTACTCATAAACTCTTATCTCTAATACTGTAACAAATTATTGTGTTATACATATCCTTATGAGTTTGAGATCTCTGTTTAAGTTTGTAACCTCTATTTGAGTTTGTAATCCTTGTCAGAATACAAGGGCTCCTTCCCTGCATCTCTGGAGGCCTTGGCCTGATCCAGCCCCCGGCAGCCTTCCCAAGGTGTGGGTCACGTGTGTTTTGGGCCCCCCTTTCTGCGCTGTCGTGCTGTGGATGGGGGGGGGAGGCAGCGCACCGATGTAAGAAGCCCAAGTCGTCATGGCGATGGGGATGCGGGCGATGGAGACGGATGGGCCGGTCCTCGCTCTGAGCATCCTTCCCTGGGCCCCCCGGCCTCCCTGCCTGGCTCGGATTCTGCCCTGGCGGCTCCTCCTGGCTGTGGGGCCCGGCCGCTGGCACCGTGGAGCCCAGTCCAAGGGGGCTCCGCTGGTTGCTGCCCTGGCCCTGGGGGGCCAAACGGTCGCCGTCGGTGGCCACCGCCAGCTCGCGGGGCCGCCTCCTCAGCATCAGCTTCATCAACAGCGGAGCGGCCCCCTCAGAATTGTCAGAATACAGACTTTTCAATGGATTAGTTTTTGCGAGTAGGGACCACTCCCACTATTGGAACTTATATTGGCCAGAGTTCTTGGTGTGCTTTTTCCATGGCTGCTCTCTCACCTGGGAGCATCACCTTGATGGCCGTGCCAGGGCTGTGCCACGCAGGCTGGCTGTTCCCCTGGGGCAGCGGCGCCGCTGCTGGCTTCCTCCACCAGGCTTTCCTCCGCCTTGCCTGCACGCTGCATTGGCGCTTCTGGGATCAGTCGCTTTTTGAAATGGGCTCCTTCCCCCCCTTCCCCTGGAGGATCCTGTCCTGCGGCCCCGATGGTGGGAGTGAGGGAGGGCCGCAGGGGCTCCAGTGTTGGGGTGATGATCTGTGGCAAGATGAAGGCAGATCAGAACAACAACTGGGGAGGGGGGAGTTTGTGCCCCAAAGATGGAAGGCTGAGCTTTCCACCAGGCGCTGCTTCAAAGCAAGCCTGGCCACTGTCTTGGTAGCCTCTTGGTGAAGGTGTCTTCCTTCCACCAGCTAAGCGTGGAGGGAAGATCTCACCTACAAAACAATCCCCCCCACTTGGCTCTTGGGTGGAATCTACACACATATAAAAAACACTGTGAAAATGTTTTTTAAAAAAAGTTTTGAAAAACATATTGAATTTGACATGGCTCACCATCGCCATCTGGTGTCACATTTGTGTATTGCACTTTGCAACACACAAACGTTTTACAGTGGTATCTCGGTTTTCAAACGTCTCCACTGACGAACATTTAGGTTTCTGAATGCTGTAAACCCGGAAGTAGATGCTTCTGTTTTTGAATGCGCCTCGGAAGTTGAACATTCTGCTGAGCACAAGATCCTGAGGTGGTCAGCTATTGAGTTTTCGGTTGCCGAACGTTTCAGAACTTGAACGGTCTTCTGGAATGGATTGCGTTCAAAATCCGAGGTACCACTGTATTTGCAGGCGTATAGCTGAGTCCTTACTTTGATTCATCTGGGAGCCTTTTTTGCCGCCTTTAAATGTGTTACAAAAAATGTTGCAAATACAAGCCAACCCATTGCTCTTAAACAACTAGCAATGCAGTCCAGTTTTCTTAGGTTCTTACTTGTTGGTCCAGTCCAGAACTCTTCTCTGTTTGGTCCCAGCGAGAGAGAGACAGACAGTGGCAAGTCCCTTCCCCAACCTGCTGGTGGCTTCTGAGACAGACCCAGACACTCAGGGATGAGTTGTCCATTAACACCACACTCCATCTTAACAAAGACTCCACCTTCTCCCCACTCCCAGCTTTAGCTTCTGCTCCTGTTCTCTGCAAAAATCACAAGACAGAGGAGCCAGTAGGAGAATACTTCAATCTCCCAGGACATTCAATACAGGATATTAGAGCAGCTGTCTTATTGCAAAAGAATTTCAGAAACAGACTTGAAAGGCAAGTTGTTGAATTACAACTTATCACTAAACTGAAAACTATGGAGAGAATAGAGATATTGGATTCTTGTCTCATTACACATGCTAATCTGCATACTATCCCTTGCTTTTTCCTGTAGGACTAATTGCAGTCGTTAACAGTCGTCAACAGGTTTACCATACCCATTGAGTTAATCACCCATCTCCTACTACCCTCCTGAGAAAAACCCCACCCTCCCACTATATACAGTCATACCTCGGGTTACAGACACTTCAGGTTGCGTTTTTTTGGGTTACGCACCAGCCGAAACGCGGAAGTACCGGAACAGGCTACTTCCAGGTTTCGGCAGTCAAGCTAAATCACACTTTGCATATGCACAGAAGCACCAAATCACGACCCACACGTGCACAGACGTGCTGCTGTGGGTTGCGGACGCTGCAGGTTGCAAACGTGCATCCCGCACGGATCATGTTCGCAACCCAAGCGTCCACTGTATATAGGTCTGATGACTTCTGTTTCAGGGTATCTGAAGAAGTGTGCATGCACACAAAAGCTTAGACCCAGAACAGACTTAGTTGGCCTCTAAGTTGCTGCTGGACAATTTTTTTAAATTTTTAAATTTATTTTGTCTGCAAACAAAGCCATTCTGCAAATGCAAACCTCCACACAAGGTTTTGTGCACATTAAGCATAGCTTTTGCAGAGAGGCCTTACCCCCTGAACCATGTGTCTTTGCTGGAATAAAATAGCCATTTCGTTTTTTGAAGTGGAGAGGGCTGAGCCCGCAGGTGCTCCACCGCCAGGGCAGGCTATTGCAAGAGATAAAGATCCTGCCACAGAGCCAGGCAAAAGTTGTCAGTAAAATGCAACCATACCAGCCTAGCTTGCCCCTGGCTTTTAACGGGAGCTTGGTATGCAGGAACCAGGAAGGGATTAATTTATTTTAGCAGCTCGAGGTAAGCATTTAATCACCTGCTGATATCTGAAGGCAGAGGAATGTAAACAGAACCTGCTCCTTTTCCCTTATGGGGTATCCAAGAGCCCGAGTAGAATCCTGAAGTGGGTTCCCTATTGGTATGGAACCTTTATTCTGGGTTCCTCCTCCCGCCTGCGTGGGGTGAGTGGGGACCCCGTTGCAACAGTTTAAAAAAGATCAGGCTTACTAGCCGCTTTACTTCTCAATATTCTCTGCTTGGCCTCTGTTATTTTCTCCTACCCATAGGGAACCCACTTAAGGACTCTATATGGCTCTTGGAGACCCCATAAAGCAGGGGTAGGCAGCCTGGGGGCCGGATCTGGCCCAATCGCCTTCTCAGTCCGGCCCGCAGACAGTCCAGGAATCAGCATGTTTTTACATGAGTAGAATGTGTCCTTTTATTTAAAATGCATCTCTGGATTATTTGTGGGGCATAGGAATTCATTCATGCCCCCCCCCCCCAAAAAAAATATAGTCCGGCCCTCCAAAAGGTCTGAGGGACAGTGGACTGGCCCCCAGCTGAAAAAGGCTACTGACCCCTGCCATAGGGAACCCACTTCAGGACTCTATATGGCTCTTGGATACCCCATAAGCCAGGGGTAGGCAACCTTAGGCCCGTGGGCCGGATCCGGCCCAATCACCTTCTCAGTCCGGCCTGTGGACGGTCCAGGAATTACGCTGCACGTCAGAATCAGCGCCCTTTTACATGAGTAGAATGTAAATCTCTGGGTTATTTGTGGGGCCTGCCTTAAGAGATAAAGGAGCAGTTATTTTCTTATAACCCCGGGGGGGGGGCCTCGCTGGGCTCCTTCCCTGCATCTCTGGAGGCCTTGGCCTGATCCAGCCCCCGGCAACCTTCCCAAGGTCACGTGTGTTTTGGGGCCCCCTTTCTGCGCTGTCGTGCTGTGGATGGGTGGGAGGCAGCGCGCCAATGTAAGAAGCCCAAGTCGTCATGGCGATGGGGATGCGGGCGATGGAGACGGATGGGCTGGTCCTCGCTCTGAGCATCCTTCCCTGGGCCCCCCGGCCTCCCTGCCTGGCTCGGATTCTGCCCTGGCGGCTCCTCCTGGCTGTGTGGCCCGGCCGCTGGCACCGTGGAGCCCAGTCCGAGGGGGCTCTGCTGGTTGCTGCCCTGGCCCTGGGGGGCCAAACGGTCGCCGTCGGTGGCCACCGCCAGCTCGCGGGGCCGCCTCCTCAGCATCAGCTTCATCAACAGCGGAGCGGCCCCATCGACCCCCGAGAGGCTGCCCAGATGCCCCCAAGTGCGTGCCAGGGGAGGGGGGGCAGGGGGGACCCCCCAGGGGACGGGGAGACATGGGGCACAGGGGCCGGGATTGGGGAGCCAACAGGCCTGGGAAGCAGGTGGGGGCCTTGGGGGGCCTTTGGCAGTGGCTGCATGGGGTGGGCAGGAAGGAGTTAATAATAATAATAATAATAATAATAATAATAATAGTATCATTTATATGCCGCCCATCCAACTGGGTTGCCGTGGCCAGGATTCATCCAGTGCCCTAAACCCTGAGGTCCCAGGGCGGTTCGCAGAATAAAGTCAAAATAGAAAACGACATTCCAGTAACAACCCCTCCCCCCAGAACCCCCCCCCATTTTAAAAGGGCTCTCCCTGATTTCTTTTTCTTCCTTCCCTGTTTTTAATGTTTGAAGTTTTCTTTTGTTTAATATTCTGTTGGGAGCTGCCCAGAGTAGCTGGGGAAACCCAGCCTGATGGGTGGCCAAAGGCATCCCGTCTGACATTTACAAGACATCTGAAGGCAGCCCTGCATTGGGAGGTTTTTAAGATAGTTTAAAAGATAGTTTAACTTTTTTTAATCTTTTGTTGGAAGTCGCCCAGAGTGCAGTAGAAATACATGGGCAGGGTAGAAATAATAATAATAATAATAATAATAATAATAATAATAATAATATATCATCATCATCATCATCATCATCACAGTGGTACCTTGGTTTGTATACGTTTTGGATTACAAACACGTCAAACCCAGAAGTGCATGTCCCGGTTTGCAACCTTTTTTGGGATTACAACCCTTTTTTTTTGGATTACGAACAATTTTTTTTGGGAGGCCCCATTGGTGAAAACGCGCCTTGGGTCACAACCTGTTTTGGTTTACGAACGGGCCTCCGGAACGGATTACGGTTGTAAACCAAGGTACCACTGTATTATTATCCCAGGGGCAGCAGGAGGAGCTTGGTATTTCCCTTGAACGCTTCCACCCTGAATGACCTGCTGTGTGTGATCTTCGGATGAAGGGAGGCATACAAATTTAATAAATAATAATAATAATAATGATAGGAATAAGTGCATTTTCTTTGAAATCCTATTGTTTGGATGGATGTAATTTTCAAGGAAGCCTGTTAAGACTGACTCCTTATTTTAAATTTTCCTGGTTTGGGATTCAGTTACAATTTGTGTGTGAATAATGCCTTTCCTTTGTGTTGCCAAAAGGGCCCAGAAATTCAGAAGGGAGAAGCAAGGAAGGGGGGGGGCTTTGTAAAGGATTGTAAAGGAGTGTCTTTCTCCACATAAACTGTTGTAGAAATAGGACAACGTTTGATTAAACACGCACACACACTGTATATATATGTGTGTGTGTATAAATATATAAAAATATATTCATATATAAATATATATTTGCGTGTAAGGGAATTGGTTTCATTAGGAGTGACAAATCAACTCCCTCCCCTCAAAAAAAAATACATTCTCCGAAAGATGACCTTTATCATCATCATTATTTATTAAATTTGTATGTCGCCCTTCATCTGTAGATCTCAGGGCAGTCCACAGCATAAAAATACAGGATGAAAACACAAAATGTGGAATAAAAGCCAATTTGCCTAACAGCTTCATGTGGTCATTGGCGTGCACTGATAGATGCACATTTAGAAATAGTTTCTGCAATTGGAACAGACTAGAGAGAGGCTTCGTCTCGCCATTGCAATGAAAGCAGAGGCCAGGTGACCGGTGTGCCTGCTCTCGAGGTGCAAAGGGTGGATCAGGGCCCTTCTGGCTGCAGTCCTGAGAGAGAGAGAACAAGTGGTTAGGGCTTCTCACTCCTGATTGCTTTGCGCCAAAGCGCATGGCTCTGAGCACTTTCCCGCTTCTCCTGTGCTTTCAAGACATGTGTCTGAGCGGGTTCCCTCACCCCCCCAAAAATATAATTTTTATGAAGTTTCCAAACTTCTCAGATTAACTTCAAATTAGATAGCAACTTTGTTTCCCAGATTGACTTCCCGCAGAGTTTTTATTCAAACCCTTATCTATTATGAAAACCCTCTAATACCATTATTTCCTCATCATTTCTTCCGGTGAGCAGTTTTGCCTTTGGCCCACCACTTTGCCCCAGAAAGCTCACACTTTGGCAATAAATCGGAAGGGGCTCAACTAGTATCATGCGCAGGGCCAGATTGAGGTTTGATGCGGCCCTCAGCTCCTGAAGATAATGGGGCCCTTTCTATGTCCAGCTGTCCTTTGTCCACAACAAATGGTCACTGTTTTTTGTGTTGAATATATGCTGTATGGTAACTGATGGACCTCATAGGTGCCTAAAGCCATTTGCCCATGTTGCCCTGCAACCAGTCCATGCAGAATGTCGGCACCCTATATATAGAAAGGAGCAAAGCAGGGATATTTGAGGGAGCAGGCGGGGCCCATGACTTACATCAGGGGTGTCCAACTCCCTAGAGACTGCGATCTACTCACAGAGTTAAAAACTGGCAGTCATCTACCCCCTTTTTTTGGGTTCAGGTCCAAGTTGTTGAGTTTTTTCAGGGAGGAGGTAAAATGTTGAGCTTTTTTTAGGGGAGCCACAGTTGTGATCTACCACAGATGCCCAGTGATCTACCGGTAGATCACGATCTCCCTGTTGGATATGCCTGACTTACATCATAGGAGCCTACACAACACAAAACATGGTTGCCGCATGTAGGTTTTATTTTATTTGTTTTTTATCTTCTATTTTGGAAATGTCCATTCATTTTTTGGGGCCCCCCAAGAGCATGGGGCCCTGAGCTATACCTTGTTTAGCTTATACGTAAATCTGGCACTGATTATGTGAGAGGAAGAAAGACTTCTCTCTGTCCATTTCCTCCACCTGCAGTTCTGATGATGGAGGGACATTGATACTGATATACACCGATCTTTCCCCCCCAGGATATATTTGGCTACAAGACTAAAGGGTGCCGGAGGGCCCTGTGCCTCGCTGGGTACGTCCTGTCCTGCGGAGTCCTCCTCCTCCTCTTCTACTGGAAGCCCGAGTGGGACGTGTGGGCCAACTGCGTGCCCTGCGACTTGGAAGAGGCCGATGTCGTGCTCTTGCGGACAACGGTGGGTGGCCTTTGCATCTCCCAAGCAGCTTCCCCAAGTTCTCATCCCCAGAGGTTACAGCCAGGCAGGGCATTGCGGAGATTCCTGTAGGCTGTCTCCCACATCTCACTGGGCAGTAACCCGGGAATTGGTTAACCTGCGGAACTCACTCCCACAGGAAGCAGTGATGCCACCAATTCAGAGGGCTTTAAAAGAGGATGGGATTATCTTAGGGAGGTTTTTTTTCTTTCTTTGGCAATCCCTCATAGCCGAGTAAGATGGTCTTCCATAAACATGGTTTTAACAGTGAGTCCGTAAGTGACTGTGGAGGCCGATTCTGGATCCACACGTCCTTCCACAGTGGGGACACTGGTGGGAGCTGATCACAGTGTGGATTTGCCAAGCGTGCCTTCCTCTTAGCACGTTTCTCCCTTGCGTCCTGAGTTTGAGCATCTTCAAAGCCCATGACACCTTTGGCAAAGGCTGTTCTCCAACTTGAGTGCTCTCAGGCCAGTGTTTCCCAGTTGTCAGTGTTTATACTACATTTTAAAAGATTTGCCTTGAGAGAGTCTTTAAACCTCTTTTGTTGACCACCAGCATTACGCTTTCCATTTTTAAGTTGGGAATAGAGTAGCTGCTTTGGAAGACGATCATCAGGCATCCACACAACATGACCAGTCCAACGAAGTTGATGTTGAAAAACCCTTATCTTTATTAAACTGTTGCAACAGGGTCCTCACTCACCACACACAGGATGGAGGAGGAACCCAGAACAAAGGTGTGCAAGCCCTTATATAGACTTTTGAAATTCCCACCCTGTAGCTCAAGGTAAAGGGACCCCTGACCCTTAGGTCCAGTTGCAAACGACTTTGGGGTTGCGGCACTCATCTCGCTTTACAGGCCAAGGGAGCTGGCATACAGCTTCTGGGTCGTGTGGCCAGCATGACTAAGCCGCTTCTGGCGAAACCAGAGCAGCGCACGGAAACACCATTTACCTTCTCGCCGGAGCGGTACCTATTTATCTACTTGCACTTTGACGTGCTTTCAAACTGCTAGGTGGGCAGGAGCAGGGACTGAACAACGGGAGCTCACCCCGTCGCAGGGATTCGAACCGCTGACCTTCTGATCAGCAAGCCCTAGGCTCTGTGGTTTAGACCACAGCACCACCCATGTCCCTCTGTAGCTCAAGACCACCCCCAAAAAACATCATACATACATCACAGAAGGGGCAGTCTACAGCAGAATCCTGTCTGGCAGGAAACCTGTTGATGGGTTCTCCTGGAGAGCCTGGCCATTCCTTTGTGATGATCAGTACTTAATTCCTGAGTCTAGGTCACAGGCTCACCCTATTCATATGCCTGGAGAAGCTTCCAGTTTGGAAGAATTTTAGAGTAGGAAAGAAACCCCCTGGGGTCATCTAGTCCAGCCACCTGCCATGCAGGAATCAAAAAGCTCATGGTGTAATTTTTTAGGCCACCATCATTATGTCTGAAATTCATGGAAGTGGACAGTCCGGTACAGTCTGTGATTTAAAGCTCTGTCTCCAAGCACCCTTTTTCTATTCCAGAGCTTTCCCCATGAAAACCGGCTCTTTAAAGCTCAATCAGAGCAAACATTAAGCTGAGGAAAACTCGAATGGACATTTGAATCCAATTCAGCTTTGAAGCGGTTTTTTGCAGGGAAAATTCCAGGGCAAAACCCAAAAAACCCTCCATGCTTGGACACAGAAGGCTAAAGTGCGGCCCTCAGCCTGGAAAGAGCAGGGCAGAAGTTGAGTGTGGAAGAGCCCTCAGGCTTGTGTGAATAGCTGCGTGATTTGTCCTGCTTTAACCGGATTGTGAATTACCAACGGGATTCACGCTGTGTTTTCCCTCCCCTAGGATGAGTTCCAGAAATACACCAGGAAGAAGGTGATCCACCTTGATTTGCAGAGCGTCTTGGACAGTGAAAAGCTGGACCACCTCCTTTTCGGTGCTGACCAGGGTTCCGTCATCAGCAGGGCCATCATGAAGCCTGGAATGACGGTGAGCTCTCCTCGGCACAAGCCGGCAAATGAGTGATGGGCACGAGAAAGAGGTTTCTTTCTATCCCCTCCTTCCTTGCCCCTTCCTTTCTAGATCGGAGGAAATTGTTTTCTTCTTTGGCGGTCCCTCATAGCCTAGTAAGATTGTCTTCCATAAACACGGTTTTAACAGTGAGTCCGTAAGTGACTGTGGAGGCCGATTCTGGATCCACACGTCCTTCCACAGTGGGGACATTGGTTTCTGGACAGGAGTCGATCCTGGTGAGGGTTTGCCAAGTTTGCCTTCCTCTTAGCACGTTTCTCCCTTGCGTCCTGAGTTCGAGTGTCTTCAAAGCCCAGGACACCTTTGGTCAAGGCTGTGCTGCCGACTTCCTTTCGTTTGTCCTGAATCTTCCAGCAAAAAGCTTCCCTTTGCCTCCGTCCCGAATAAGCCCGGGGTAGCAGATGCACAAATGAAGCTACAAGGCTCCTTTGCCCCAGAAGCTCTTTCACTGAGCGGATGCTGTGATGCCAGCTGCCCCCTGCCTTGCTTGTTCCCCCAGGACGAGAGTGGCAGGATGCTTTGTCAGGGCGGGGGCCGCTCAGGGGCAGGTGCGGCACTTACCTGGGCGGCGTTGCTGTCTGGCTTGACAATGGTGCGGCTCACTTGCACGCTGCCTTTGCTCCCGTCCGAGCTGGACTCCTCCATTTTCTGTAAGAAGGAAGGAGGAGAACACACATTGCGACTGGGAGAGTCTCCAGGACCAGATTAGAGGGTGGCAAAGATGGTGAAGGGTCTGGAAGCCAAGTCTTAGGAGGAATCCTTGAGGGGGCTGGAGATGTTCAGCCTGGCCATCTGTCTTGACACGCTTTGGCTGAGATTCCTGCCTTGCACGGGGTTAGACTAGAGGACCTTTGGGGGTCCCTTCCAACTCTACAATTCTCTGAGTCTTTGAGAAGAGGAGACTGAGAGGAGGTCCGTGTTTATGGAAGACAATCTTTCTCGGCAATGAGTGATCGCCAAAGAAGAAGAAGAAGAAGGATGATGATGAGTCCTGCTGGATGAGGCCAATGGGGGCCTATCAAGGGCAGTACCCAGTTCTCACCGTGGCCAACCAGATGCCTGGAGGAAATCTGCAATGAGGATTCGAACACGAGATCCACGTTCTCCCCTCTTGTGGCTTCCAGAAGCATCGCTGCCTCTCCACCCCCTCCCCAAATCCTGCCGGCCCTTGTGGGGAACGGCGGAAGGCAACTTTCCTCTGCCCACAATCTTGGGCTGCAACTCTTTCCGTGTTGCCCCACTGTGGGCTCCCTCCAGGGGCGTTTGCCATGCAGCAGCGGAAGGACGGACACACCAATGGCACGAGATGCAAAAGCAGGTTCAGCTGATACTGGAGCAGATTGGCAGATTGTGTTGCAAACAGACAGGAAAAACCACGTCCGGGAGCGAAGCCAGAGGGCCCGAGTTTTGCTCTGCCTGTTAGCAGAGGGATGGAGCCGAGGGGAGGGGACCTCTGGGGCAACGTTCCCACGCTCCTCCATGCTGGAGGTGGCATGAGGACAAGGCCTTCAGCCCTGTGAACGTGCCACGGAGCAGGTCCCCGGTGCCAGCCGCGTGACCGCAAGGGTCAAGAGCCGGGAAGGGCAGCCTCAAAAATCAAGGCAGAGGGTGACGCAATGTTTATGCCAGATTTCCTCCGACAACGGAGCAGCCGCTGTGTCCCTGTGCATTCAGGCAACGGCAGAGGAGCTTTGGCACGCCCCAGACTCCTTTCTGCGGAAGCCCCGGGCTTTGCACTGCAAACCACAACCGCTCTGCTCAGTGGAGTGTGTTTGCAAACCAATTGGTTCCCAGAGCCTCACTCCATTGCTCAGTCACACAGTCCCAGGGTCCTGGCAGGTCCCCAGTGAGGCATGGAAGCAGGAAGTGGGCCAGGAGGAGCAGCCAAACAAGTCCCCACACTTTGCTAGGCTGGCAAACCGGAGACCCAGGATGAACAAGGCCTGCAGATTTTTGGATGTTTCCAGTCACTGCAGTCAACTCTTCCTCCTGGAAGCTGTCCCTCCCGGGTGATCGTCAGAGGATAAGCACCTGCTGGATCCAGCCAAAGGCCCACCTGAGCCATCATCCTGTATCCCAGTGGCCATTAAGATGCCTCTGCAAGCTTCCTCTTCTTCTTTGGTGATCCCTCGTAGGCTTGTCTTCCATAAACACGGTTTTAACCATGAGTCCGTAAGTGACTATGGAGGCCAATTCTGGACCCACACGTCCTTCCACAGTGGGGACATTGGTTTCTGGGTGGGAGTTGATCACGGTGTGGATTTGCCAAGAGTGCCTTCCTCTTAGCACGTGTCTCCCTTGCGTCCTGAGTTCAAGCATCTTCAAAGCCCATGACACCTTTGATAAAGGCCGTTCTCCAACTGGGGCGCTTGCAGGCCAGTGTTTCCCAGTTGTTGGTGTTTATACTGCATTTTTTTTAGCTTTGCCTTGAGATCTTTAAGCCTCTTTTGTTGACCACCAGCATTACGCTTTCCATTTTTAAGTTCGGAATAGAGTAGTTGCTTTGGAAGACGATCATCAGGCATCCGCACAACATGACCAGTCCAACGATGTTGATGTTAAAGAATCATTGCTTCAACACGAGTGATCTTTGCTTCTTCCAGGACACTGGCATTCGTTCGCCTGTCTTCCCAAGCGATGTGTAAAATTGTATACTGTGTCTCACAGAGGCTAGAGATGCCAACTGGTTCTCTGGATCCCAAAAGGACTTTCTGAAAATTCTTCCCTGGGGCAAATTTCCTGACTTCTACGTCTCCCAGCCCTTGTGCCAACGTCACTGTCAGAGCACACTGAACTTTGACAAAGACGACAAGCTTGCGCAGTGGGGCAAGGGCACCATCCTCGCCCCCTGCCGCCACAGCAGAGTTATCTGGGGCACAGCAGAGAGGTCCACATCTGCTTATGGGCTGGGATGCTTCAGTGGGAAGCAGGGCTGTAACGCCTTGGCTCTCCCACAGAAGCGAGACACCAGCAGTAATTATCTCAGGTTTATTGCTCAAACACATAAATCACTCCGGAGCTCCTTCACTCCGGGTCTGACTCCAAGTTTGCAGTTGCCGAGTCTAAACACCGCCCTTCCTCTTCTTCCAATAGGGGAAAAAACCCTTTCGCTTCCGCTCTTTTCCCCTCCTCTCACTGACCTTTTCGCGCCTGAGTTTTTGGGCTAGCTATTCCCGGCCTCCCCCCTTCTGTCTCTGTGCTATCTTCTGCTTGCTCTCTGACATCGGCTTCCCCTCCTCCCTCTCTCATTCCAGTTCACATTCCAGTGTCCCTATCTCCCTTGGCTTGCTTAGATTCCCAGCCTCTGTCAGCTCCGGAACAAGGGCACATTCAGAGCCTTTGAGCATCGTGGGAGCTGCTTGGGAACTCCACGGGAGGATCAGGAACCCCTTCCCCCCAAAAAACCACCTCCCTGTTTACATGGGGAAGGTGGGGGGAGCAAATAATAATAATAATAATAATAATAATAATAATAATAATATATTTGTACCCCGCCCATCTGGCTGGGTTTCCTCAGCCACTCTGGGCGGCTTCCAACAAGGAGTAAAAATACATCAAAATGTCACACATTAAAAACTTCCCTGAACAGGGCTGCCTTCAGATGTCTTTCACGTTTGTGTACATAAGCATGGGGTTTCAAAAGTTCCTGCTTCTTTTTTACTTAATTACAATGGTAACTAAGTAAATGCTGTTCCTCTAATCCTGATCTAACCAACCCTCCTTCACAACTACCACCCCCTCTCACTCTTCACTCCATCCTCCATCAGTCTCTCCTGAAGAGGCCAAAAACCATCTTGGCTGCGAGTCCTGGAAGACCGTCTCTCTTTCCCCACCTAGCCTGGGAGAGAAGGGCCCAGTGAGATGGGTGGAAGGAGAGACTCCAGCTACAAAAGCTGAGGCTGCTGAACAGACTCTTTGGCTTAGGATAATTTTGCGGGGGGGGGGGTTGCTGCTTTTGTATATTTATTTTAGATCTTGTTGTGATTTATGTGGTTATTCTTCAATTTGGATGTGTATTCTACTGTTATATTGTTTACGACTGCTTTGCTATTTATTACATTTGCACGATGACTTTCACCCAAAGATCTCAAAGGTTGGGTGGTCATCTGTTAGGAATTCTTTTGCTGAATATCCTGCAGGGGGTTGGAGAAGATGACTCTCGCCATCCAGTCCAGTGCAAAAATTCAAGCATTGAAGCTACAGCTTTTTAATTTTTAAATTTGGATTCAGTAAAGTAGACCAAAGAAATATTCATAAAGACAGCATAGGGCGGAACATTATCATGAAACTTATCATTCCGAAACATGATGAAAAATACCCAAAATTTCCTAAGAAATCTGATGATTTATATGATTTATATGTATTTGCACATATTAATTTATAGGTATTTATAGGTATCATTTCACAATAAGTTAATTTAATCATTGTTCCCATCTCCCCATCCCATCAGTTTACAGATGCTTCTAAATAAATAACCGTAACCGTAACCATGCATTGTTCTAACAGGTGAGATACATCCATGTACAAAAAATCCGTTATGTCTGGGACCTCACGGAAAAGCAGTTCCTGAGAGTTGGGTGAGTTTTTAACTTGATGGCTGGAGACTCTGAGGAGTTGGAGGGGCTCTGGCTGAAATGCCGCCTCACCTTTCTGCCTCGTCTCCTTCCAGGTCGCTGGAGGACTCCAACACTTGCTACGAAATCCATCACAAATTTGGAGACGGGCTGACGAGGAAGGAGAAGGCCCTCAGGTGTGGTCCACGGGGCAGAGCTGCTCCACATCTAGTTCAACCTGCTGCAAAGCAGGAATCAATTTAATCCCTCTTTCTTTTTGTAATACATTTTTATTCCATTTTACAATTTAATATTCAACACATTTATCATATGAAAGAAAACAGAACAAAACAAAACTCTCCCCACCCCGCGACTTCCCTCAACTTCCCCTTCTGGTTCTTTAACTTCTGCTTAAATTTTTCCTTATTTTCCCTCTTTTAGCCAAATGCTCTTACATTCTTATTATTTTCATACCAAATTTTCTTCCAGTTACTTCGTACATTTAATTAATTTCCGTATTGTTGTTTCTTGACCTTTACTCTTGCTTTCTTAACTGTCAGTGTTTTACTCAAACCCTGCTAGTGAGTCCATTTCTTTACAATATTTCTGTAAATACAGCATGAACGATTCCCAGTCTTTTTTAAAATCTCTGTTGTCTTTGTCTCTGACTCTTCCTGTGAGTTTCACCATTTCTGCATATTCCATAATTTTAACTTGCCATTCTTCTTTCATTGGTATCTTGTCTTATCTTGTCTTTCCTTTCCTTTTTCCTTTCTTTTTTCCTTCCCCTTCCCCTTCTCCTTTTTCCCTTTCCTTTCCTTTCCTTTCCTTTCCTTTCCTTTCCTTTCCTTTCCTTTCCTTTCCTTTCCCTTTCCCCTCTCCCTTTCCCTTTCTCCTTTCCTTTTCACCGTTCCCTTTCCCTTTCCCCCTTTTCCTTTCCTTTCCCTTTCCCTTTCCCTCCCCCTTTCCCCTTTCCCCTTTCCCCTTTCCCTTTCCTTTCTATCGCTTCTTAAATACCATATTTTTCGCGCTATAGGACGCACTTTTCCCCCTCCAAAAATGAAGGGGAAATGTGTGTGCGTCCTATGGGGCCAATGCAGGCTTTCGCTGAAGCCTGGAGAGTGAGAGGGGTTGGTGCGCACCGACCACTCTCGTTCTCCAGGCTTCGCGCAGCTCTCCGCAAGCTGTGGGAGCCTGCGCCGGGCTCCCGCGCCTTGCGGAGAGTTGCCTGCTCTGGGGGCTGGGGGCGGGGGAAGCTCGGGCTTCCCCCGCCCCAGCCCTGCGCCTGGGGGGGGGAAATAATCCCCCCCCTTTATTTCCCCCCCCAAAAGACTAGGTGCGCCTTATGGGACGGTGCGTCCTATAGGGCGAAAAATACGGTATGTCTCCACGCCTCTGGCACTATCCAGCGGGGAAGGAGCTTAGGAGATAATTTTCTGTGGGGGACCAACAACTTGGATGGCTGTAAAAGAGGATTAGAAGAGAGGACTATGGATGGGCTCCCAGCGAGGACGGCTCTGCTCTGCCTCCACAGACAGAGGCAGCAATGTTCCTGAATCCCAGTGGCTGGAAACCTCAGGAGGGGAGAGAGTTGCTCTTGTGTTTGAATCCTGCTTTGGTTGGTTTCCCTTTGGTGCATCTGGTCAGCCCCTGTGAGAACAGGATGCTGGACTAGATGGGCCCCTGGCCTGATCCAGCAGAGTTCTTCTCATGTTCTTGAGATTGGACAGAAGGAGCAACACACACGCCCTGCCAAATCCCTGCCTTGCCCTGGAGGTCTGGGCTGCTTGTTCCTCAGGTCTTAAGGGGGGTTTCCTCATCTCTCCTGTCTTTCTCAGGAAGTTGGTTTGCGGCCCCAACGCCATTGAAATCGAAGTCCGCCCCATCTGGAAATTGCTCTTTAAAGAGGTAACGGGGGTCCCTTTATTTTGGTTATTTGTTAAAGTTACCTTATTTTTCGCTCCATAGGGCGCACCAGCCCCAAAGAGCAGCATACAGGCTGTGACCAACCTCTCCCTTCCGGAGGGGTTGCGCGCGGCTGTGGCACAAGCCAAGAAAGCCAGCGGGATGGATCCCGCTCACTGTTTTGGCTTCCTCTTTATGCCCGCGCAACCTCTCCCTGCCAGGAGAGGCTGCGCGGGGCTAAAGAGGAAGCCATAGCCACGTGCAGCCTCTCCCTGCCAGAGGGGCTGTGCGCGGCTATCCCTGAAGCCTGGAGAGCGAGAGGGGTCGGTGCGCACTGACGCCTCTCGCTCTCCAGGCTCCAGCGAAAGCAACACGAAGCCTTTGGAGCACGGAGGGAGCGCTCCCTCTGCGCTTCGGAGGCTTAGCGTTGCTATCGCTGAAGCCAAGGAGCCTGCATTTGCTCCATAGGACGCACACACATTTCCCATCAATTTTTGGAGGGGGAAAAGTGTGTCCTATAGAGCAAAAAATATATACCACTCTTCCTCCGAAGATTGCAGGGAAAGAGGCAGCAGCCATTGCAATGGCAGGGTGGATGGGTGGGAAGGTTGTGCTAAGGCTCCTGGAAAGACCTATTTATTTGTTGCGCCTTTTCCTCTGAGGAGCTCATGGTGGTGCGCATGGCTCTTGGGCCCCCACAACAACCCCGTGAGGTAGGCTAGGCTTAGAGAAGGCAGCGACTGGTCCCCAAGGTCACGCCCAGTGAGGAGCATCATCATTTATTATTTCTACCCTGCCCATTTGGCTGGGTTTCCCCAGCCACTCTGGGCAGCTTCCAACAAAAGATTAAAATTACATTAAAACATCAGGCATTAAAAACCTCCCTAAACAGGGCTGCCTTCAGATGTCTTCTAAAAGTCAGAGAGTTGTTTATTTCCTTGACATCTGGTGGAAGGGCGTTACACAGGGAGGGTGCCACCACCGAGAAGGCCCTCTGCCTGGTTCCCTGTAACTTGGCTTTTTGCAGGGAGGGAACCGCCACAAGGCCCTCAGAGCTGGACCTCAGTGTCCGGGCAGAACGATGGGGGTGGAGATGCTCCTTCAGTTACACTGGGCCGAGGCCGTTTAGCGGGGATTCGAACCCTGGTCTCTCCTAGGTCCTAGTCCAGCAGTCTAACCCCTGCGCCACACTGCCTCTCTAGTTGGCAAGAGGCCCAGCATGGAGTCCTGGGATGCCCGTCGGTCAGAGACAGGCAGACTGATGTTCTCTGCCCCATGTTCTCTGCAGATCCTGAACCCTTTTTACATCTTCCAAACCTTCACGCTGACCCTCTGGCTGGTCCAGGGATACATCGAGTACTCCATTGCCATCATCATCCTGTCCGTCATCTCTATCGCCCTCACGGTGTACGACCTCCGACAGGTGAGTCTGCCACTCCTTTTGCCCTGGTCAGGGCTTCTCCTAACGTAGCTTTCCTCCACTCTTTCCTGGCACGGTTAAAGCTCCATGTCCAAATGCTCTTTTTGTGCTTGGTTGGTTTTTTTTTGCTCTGGAGATTTCCCAGCAAAAAGCTGCTCTTTAAAGCCAAATTGGAGCAAACAGCAGTCTGCGGAAAACCCCAATGGCCATTTGTTGAGCTTCAGTTTTAAAGAGTGAGTTTTCGCAGGGAAAGCTCTGGGGCAAAAAAGGGGGGGCACTCAGACACAGAACTTGAAAGCCTGGAACTCAGGACAAGAGGTCACTGCTGCCTTTAATCCGTCAGATTTGTATAGAGCTTTAATTCTAAGCAAAGGATGGGAGTGCCTTAAGCCTCCTGGAAGACCTCGCCCTCTCTCACGCCGCAGGGCACCACCCTCTCAGAGGCACCTCTTCCACTCAGCCTTTGGTTTATTTGACCAGCTTTTCTGCCTGGCTTTTCCCGTCCTGCTGACCCCCTTAGCCATATTGTGCCAGGGCTGATGGAAGTTGCATGAGAGAAAGTGGAAAGAGAACACTAAAATGCATGGGAATGTTGGAAGATTCAGGACGTTTCTAAAAAAAAAAAAAAAATCCTGCTTCACACAGCATATGGTTAAACTGTGGAACTCCCTGCCACAAGGTTTCCCACAGTCACCTGGTTGGCCCCTGTGAGAACAAGATGCTGGACTGTGAGAACAAGATGCTGGTCCAGCAGGCTCTCCTTTTGCATGTGATTGAATTTTACTCACTAGAGAGGAGCCAACTGGAAGGCCCCCCCAGACCAGCCTTCCCTGCTCAGACATGCCCAGCGCCTAAGTCTCTTCTTTCCGCAGCAATCAATCAAGTTGCACAACCTGGTGAAGGAGCACAACAAGGTGGAAGTCCTGGCCTGGACCAAGAGTGAAGGTGTGTGGGTGTGTGTTTGTATTGGGGTCCTGAGACAGCTGCCTTCTTCTCCTGCCCCACAGCCTCCCCTTCCTCTCCCAGCACTATCCTGCTTCCCCATCTCCCCACACGGGGCAGCCTCAAGGCCTTTAAAGGAAGGGTTCCCAAACTCTTCTGGGCCACCCGGGGCCGGATTTACGTATAAACTAAACAAGCTGTAGCTTAGGGCCCCACTCTCTTGGGCCCCCAAAAAAATTTAAAGGGGGGAAAAACTGGATGTACAGTTCCAAAATAAAAGATAAAAAGCAAATACAGTGGTACCTGTATTGTTCCGGAGGCCCGTTCGCAACATGAAAAGAGTGCAACCTGAAGTGCCGTATCTGCGCAGGTGCACGGTGCAATTTAGCGCTTGTGTGCATGCGCGAGTGGTGAAACCTGGAAGTAACCCTTTCCAGTACTTCCGGGTCGCCGTGGGATGTAACCTGTAAGAACATAATATGAAGCAAACGTAACATTGAGGTATGACTGTACAGTGGTCCCTCGGTATATGAACTTAATCTGTTCCGGAAGTCTGTTCTTAAATCAAAACCGTTCTTAAACCGAGGCACTCTTTCCCGAATAAGGCCTCCCGCCGCCAGTGCCCTTCTACCATTCAGATTCCGTCCTTAAACCAAGGTAAAGTTTGCAAACCAGGACACTACTTCCAGTTTTGCTGAGTTTGTAAACCGAATCGTTCGTAAACAGGACTTTTCTTAAACCGAAGGACCACAGTAAAATAAAACCTACATACAGCAACAGTGTTTTGTGTTGTGTGGGCTCCTATTTATTATGTGCAAATGGCTTTAGATACCTATTAGGTCCATAAATTAATATATAGCACATATTCAGCATAAAAAACAGCAGCAATTTGTTGTTGACAAAGGACAGCTGGACATATACAGGGCCTCATTACCTTCAGTAGCTCAGGACCTCATTAAACCTAAATCCGGCCCTGGGGCCACCCCCCCCTTAGTTCCATTAAATCCAAAAACAGATTGGAAAACTGGGCCCAAACCAGGAAATAATAATAATAATAATAATAATAATAATAATAATCATGACAGCCTGTCTTTTCCCCTGAAATGAATTTCAATAGGGACAAGCATAAGGTTCTATCCAGACTTTTAGGCCCAGCTCAGCGCTTTAAAGCTCTGTGCTTGAGCGGTTGCTGTTGTTGTTTGTTCCGGCACTTTTCCTGGGAAACCTGCGCTTTAACAGAGCCCCTTTTCCTGCAGGGAGCTGCAAGGTGGAATCCTGCCAGCTGGTCCCAGGAGATGTCCTTCTCTTGGAAAGCCAGAAGTTTTCTCTGCCCTGCGATGCCATCCTGATAGAAGGGAGCTGCGTGGTCAACGAGGGGATGCTCACAGGTACGCAGAACTGTCCTGGCCTCCCTTTGCCCTTCTCCCACGCCCTCCTTCTGCCCGCTCTGCTTTCTTTCTCACGCAGATGAAGGGATTTGGAGGGAGGCGGCCTGAAAGGTAAATTTAAAAGGGGGGGGCAGGTAAATTAAACTGTGGAACTCTCTCCAGCAGGAGACAGTCATTTGGCCACTAAATAGAATGGTTTTAGAAGAGGATGGCGCAATCTCATGCCGGGGGAGAGGGCTATAAGTGGTTCTACTCTGCCCCCACAGTCAGAGGCAGCGATGCTTCTGGATCTCAGTTGCCAGAGGAAAGAGGGTGATTGTGCTCAGATCCTGCTTGCCCGTTTCCCATTGGGGCATTTGAGACCTTCGGGTGTAGGGAAATAAAAAATAAAAACAAACATTTGGATGGCCCCTGTGAAAACAGGATGCTGAACTGGATGGGGATATTTTCACCCCCTCCCATTGCAAGAATCTCCTGATGTTTTCAGAAAGGAGGGGGCGGAAACTGTTGATTTAAAGCAGAGTCTGGTGCCCAGCGGAAGGATGAGGAGTACGTGCTGCATACTCTATATTGCTTTATTTACAGTTCAAAGCTGGTATATTACAGAAAGACATCTTGCCTCTGCCGGAGCAGAAAATGCATCCTCTCTCCTCGACAGCTCGGAGAGAATCACACAGTGAAAAAACAGGAAACCAGTGTACGTCACATCCAGCCTCCCTTTCCCGTGAGAAACTCCAACAGTACAGACTGTGGAATGTAAACACCTTTCTCGTGACAAGCCCTTTCGCTGCACAGTGAAGGAAAGCAGAAACCAACATCCTCCCCCTTTCTGTGAACATCACTGGGCAGCGTGTTTGTACAATATCAGTACAAACCCAACTTCTGCACATAGGTACAGTGTTGATCCCTCGATACAATCTTGGACAATACATCAGCAGGAATTTCATTACCTGGCATATAGGACACCGTTACGAGTCCCTTCTGAATACATTCCCTAGCATGCTGCAACTTTAATTGCAAGTGCTTTGTGCTTTGCTTACAACCTTCAGACTTCAGCAAAGCCAAACATGCTTTGTTGTCCTGGTAAACCTGGATTGGACATTTGACAGGAATTTTCATATCTTTGCACAATTGTACTAACCATTCACAATCCTTAAGTGAATAAGACAGTGCATTCAGTTCGGCTTCACAAGTACTTAAGCTAACTGTTGTTTGCTTCTTGCATGACCAATCAAACAGACTCTGATTGTACATGTAGCAAACTCCAGACGTACTTTTCCTGTCTGTAGCGTCACTTCCAAAACTTGCATCTGCAAATATCTCAAGACCACCAGACTTCTGATTGTTAAATCTCAGTCTGTAATGCATAGTGCCTTTCAAATACCGCGCTATGCGTTTCAGAGCTTTCCAATGCTTGACACTAGGATTGTTGACTTGTCTGCTTAGCAAATTACAGCTAACAGCAATGTCTGGTCTTGAACATCTGGCAATGAAGTTTAGCTTGCCTAGCACACTCCTGTACAGTGTAGTGTCAGAAAATGCTTCTTCAGTGTCATCTACCTGATAACCTGTTGTCATCGGTGTGTTTACAGGGTTAGCATCCATCAGATTTAGTTTGCTTAACACATCAGCAATTTTCCGTGACTGGTGTACTAGAATGTTACCATCTTGATCTCTCTCTATTTCCAGAGATAGGTAGTTGTTTACCTCACCAAGATCTTTCATGTCAAAGTGCTCTTTCAGTTGAGCTAGGGCGCTATTGTACATTGCAACATCTTTCCAAAAGAATAATAAATCATCAACATAAAACAAACAGTACAGTTTCTTTTGCCCCTCCTCTTGACAAATACACATGGATCAGCTTTCCTTGCTGAAAACCTAGAGAAAACAATACTTCAGTGAGTTTTGTGTGCCAACACCGTGCACTTTGTTTGAGACCATAAAGGGATTTCTTCAGAGCACAAACAAATCCCTGTTTTACCTGTACGCCATCAGGTGGAAGCATATAAAGTGATTCATCTAGAGATCCGTACAGAAAAGCTGTATTAATATCATGGTGACTAATGTGTAGATTTTCCTCTGCAGCTAGCTTAAGCATAAGCCTAATGCTTTCATATCTCACTGTGGGTGAATAGGTCTCGTGATAGTCTTGACCTGGTACCTGTGCAAAACCTCTGGCTACCAATCTGGCTTTGTGTCTGACTATCTTGCCATTTTGATCTGTCTTCGCTTTGAAGACCCATTTGCTTCCAAGCAGTTTCATTCCTGGAACTACTGGAACTAGCTCCCATGTTTTGTTCCTTTCTAAGGAATCAAGCTCAGCCTTCATGGCATTTAACCATGGCTCAGCTTCCTTTGAATCCAAACCCTGGATTTCTTGGAAACTTGAAGGTTCAAATACAGTGGTACCCCGCAAGACGAACGCCTCGCAAGACGGAAAACCCGCTAGACGAAAGGGTTTTCCGTTTTGGAGGCGCTTCGCAAAACGAATTTCCCTATGGGCTTGCTTCGCAAGACGACAGCCCATAGGAAATCTCAGGGACAGCGGGGAAGCGCAGCGCGTCTTCCCACTGTCCTCGGACCTCCTCCGAAGCCTGGCGGCGGGGCGGGGACACCTCCTCCCGCCGCCGCCGGGCTCGGAAGGCTCCTCCGGCCGGGCGGGGGAGGGAACACTCAGCCGCCGCCGCCCGGCTTCGGAACGGTGCCCGGCCGGGCGGGGGAGGGAAGACCTCCGCCGCTGCCCGGCTCGGAACGGTGCTCCGGCCGGGCGGTGGGGAGGGAAGACCTCCGCCGCCGCCCGGCTCGGAACGGTGCCCGGCCGGGCGGGGGAGGGAACACCTCCGCCGCCGCCCGGCTTCGGAACGGTGCCCGGCCGGGCGGGGGAGGGAAGACCTCCGCCGCCGCCCGGCTTCGGAACGGTGCCCGGCCGGGCGGGGGGAGGGAAGACCTTCTGAAGGCGGGCGGGGGCGAAAGTCCTTGCTCCCCTGCCTGCCTGTCCCGGAGGGCTTTTGAAGGCGGGGAGCAAGACTCGCCCGCCCGCCTTCAGAAGAGGTCCAGGACCTCTTCTGAAGGCTGGCGGGGGCAAAGTCTTTGTCCCCCTGCCTGCCTTCCCAGGGGCTTTAATTGCCCCGGACAGCGGAGAAGTCCTCCGCTGTCCCGGGTGATTTTAAATGCCGCCCGCCAGCATTTTAAGATCGCCCGGACAGCGGAGAAGTCCTCCGCTGTCCCGGGTTTTTAAAATGCTGGGGGTGGGAAGAAAGCCCTTGCCCCCCCAGCCTTCAGAAGAGGTCCGGGGACAGACTGTCCCCGGACCTGGTCTGAAGGCGGCTTCCTAGGAACGCATTAATTGATTTTCAATGCATTCCTATGGGAAACCGTGCATCGCAAGACGAAAAACTCGCAAGACGAAGAGACTTGCGGAACGAATTAATTTCGTCTTGCGAGGCACCACTGTACCTTCTTGGAGCTTTTAACAGCTGTTACTGCTATCGTAGCAAACTCATCAGCAAATCTCTTTGCAGGTTTGCTTTTTGTGGCTCTCTGTGACCTACGAATTAGCCTTAAGTCTTCAACACTCTCCTCTTCCTTCTTAGGAGAAAAACGACCTATTGTGAACAATGGTTCCTCCAATTCTTGATCAGAGCTTTCAGAGGGTCGCATAGAGGCTTTCGCACTCTCGAAATCCTCTGAATCACCCGATTCAGTTTCAGATTCAGACTCAGAACCTTCATCAGTGGGTGTGGGCTGTTGTGGTTGCTTTTGACTATCCTCAGTCTCATCACCGTCATCAGGATAACATTGGAAAATTCCCACATTCTCCCCCACTTTGCATTGTACTCAACACTTCTCGTGAGCTTAATTGTCTTAGAGTCAGTCATCATTATTCTGTAAGACCCTTTCTGATAACCTAGAAAGATACCATGCAATCCACGCTTGTCTAACTTGGAGTTTTGTGGTGAGCGAACCCACATGTCAGAACCAAAATCTTCATGTGTTTGATGTATGGCTTCTGCCAAACATCTTCTCATAGGGGTACAACCAATCGCTGAAGATAACCTGCGATTGTAACTGTAAACAAAACACGAGAGAGATTCGGCCCAATAACTCTCTGGAAGATTGGCATCATGCAGCAAGGTTTTTAACCCTTGAAGCAATGTCTGATTTGCCTGCTCCGCAAGTCCATTCTGCCATGGCGAGCGAGGACTAGACAAATCGTGTTGAATTCCTTTCTCAGTCAGAAAAGCTTCAAACTGCTGAGAAGTGAATTCCCCGCGATCACTGAAAAGAGTCTTTATCTTCTTACCATGCACATTTTCCAACCAAGCACAGAATTCCTTGAACCTAGGAAAAGCCTCCGATTTCTGCTTGAGATTGTACACAAAAATATATCTAGAAAATGCATCAATGAGAACCATGAAGTATCTATTTCCACCCAAAGAGGGCGCTAGTGGTCCAACCAAATCAGCATGAACAACCTGGTATGGTTCTGTAGCTTTCCTACTAGACACCTTACCTTTCGCAGCCATTTTCACCTTGTTTGCTGCGCATGCTTTGCACTTCATGTGGTACCTGCAGGGTTTAATAGTCATACCTTCAACCAAGGCAGGCATTTTAGATACTGCCTCAAAATGCAAATGACCAAATTTTCTATGAAAATCGTGAATACATTCTGCATGCAAACTTTTGTTAGAACCTGCAATGCAACAAGTGTCATCCTGCACCACATCATCATAATACAAAACAAACAAACGATCAACATATTCTGCATGCAATACATAATCATTTTTCTTTGTGATGATGCACTTCTTGTTCTTGAAGGAAACGTCAATGTTCCGCTCATTCAGCTGTCCAACGCTGAGCAGATTATGTTTGGCGTCTGGCACGTAAAGCACATTCTGTATCGATAAGTCCAAACTGTGAAGAACAACAGTTCCGTAGCCTTTACTGGGAATAGTGTGGTCATCCGCCTGGTGAATCGCACCTTCCTGCGGTGTAAAAGACACAAACAGTTTCTTATCGTTGCACATGTGGTGGGTCGCCGCTGAATCAACAACGAAGAAAGATCTAGACGTCTTCTGGACCTCTGCAACCTTTGGAGTGAAGCGTGAAACCATAGCCTTGTGCTGCGTTGTCCTAGACACCGGACCTTTGCCTTTGCCTCGGCCTTTTCCGCGCGATGAGCTTCGCTGCGCTGCTCTGTCTTGGCCCTGGGATGTCTGCATCCCTCTTCATATGGCCTAGACGTCCACACGCGTAGCATTTCACTGCCTTCAAAGCTTTGGCGCCATCTGGTGGTTCCACTGCACTATGGGATGACGTCTGTGAAGACTCCCTTGCCCATGCAGCTAGCACCCCGGCGATCTGCTTCATTTAAAATCACGGCAGTAACAAAGTCCACTGTCAGCTGAGCAGTTGGTTGCACAGCAATCTGGGTTGCAACAGACTCCCAACCTGAACCCAAAGATTGTAGTATCATGAAAGAATACACAGCCTCTGGAAAGTTGAGTCCTCTCTGTTGCAGCTCATGTCTCAGATTTTGCATCTCCATCAGATGTAAACGCACATCTCCACCTTCAGCAAGAGCCATATTATGCAGCTTGTTAAAGTAAAACATAGTGGATCCAGCTTCTGTCCTTAAGTGAGCCTCTCTCAAAGCGTCCCAAATTTCTCTGGCTGAGGTCTTATCACGCAATAGACAGAGCTCTTCTGGGGATACTATCAATGTAAGAGTTCCCTTGCTTTGGAATCCTTAGCTTCCCATGCATCTGTAACTGGAACTGGGGGGGTTCCTGTAATCACCTCAAACAAACCCTCTTTCCGCAGAATTGCCTCTGCATACAGAACCCAGTCGGCATAATTTTTCTTGTTGAGCTTAGGAATCCCACAAGCATCCTGAAGGGCCATCATGACTCTGGCATTAGCCTTCAGCGTCATATATGCTGCTTTAAATCTTGCTGCGTCACTGCTGCAGCTGCCTTATTCCAAAAGCGCACTTAAAAGTTACTTCGATTTCCCCAGCATAGTGACTTGTGCCTGGGAGCCTTTTGCCTATTCCCGGCAAAACCGGCTTTAAAGGTTCAAAGTCCAGCCATAAAGCCATTAACTTGAAGCTGGCAGGCTGCCCGGAGCAGTAGCACATACCTCATCAATCACCTCTACGCGCAGAGCAGATTCCGTTCCGATCTGTTCCTCTGCATTCCGATCCTTTGCCGGCACTCCGATTCGACTTCTGGAGCCCATAACCACGTGTTGATTTAAAGCAGAGTCTGGTGCCCAGCGGAAGGATGAGGAGTACGTGCTGCATACTCTATATTGCTTTATTTACAGTTCAAAGCTGGTATATTACAGAAAGACATCTTGCCTCTGCCGGAGCAGAAAATGCATCCTCTCTCCTCGACAGCTCGGAGAGAATCACACAGTGAAAAACAGGAAACCAGTGTACGTCACATCCAGCCTCCCTTTCCCGTGAGAAACTCCAACAGTACAGACTGTGGAATGTAAACACCTTTCTCGTGACAAGCCCTTTCGCTGCACAGTGAAGGAAAGCAGAAACCAACAGAAACTGCTCTTCGCTTCTTCCACTCCTGCCTGACTCTGTGGGAGTCTCTGTGTTATCTATGTAGAGATGAGACAGTTGTGGGTCCAGTGCACTTAGACCTGCTTTCCAGGAGTGGAAGGTCTCTGGAAGTGCTCCAGTTCGCCTAGTCCAGTTGGGGCAGATCCAGATATGGAGCCAAGTCATTGGCATCGGCTCAAAGGCGTACTGACACTTCTTACTTTCTTATGTACCATATTTTTCGCTCTGTAGGATGCAACCGACCATAGGACGCACCTTGTTTTAGAGGGGGAGAACAAGAAAAAAAATTCTCCCGCTCTCTGCACAGCGTCCCTTCAGCGAAGCGGCAGGAGAAATGGAGCCCCTTCCATTTCTCCTCCCCTTTAGCTGAAAGGGCGCTGCACAGCTCTCCCTCTCCCACATTGCCTTCTCCTTCAGCGAAGGCAACCCGAAGCCTCCAGAGCGCAGCGGGAGTTCCTTTGGGTTCCTTTCACTATCTTTGAAGCCTGGACCCCTCTTGCTCTCCAGGCTTCAGCAAAAGCATCGCGAAAACTCCGGAGCGCGGCGGGAGCGCTCCCTCTGCGCTTCGGAGGCTTTGCGTTGCTATCGCTGAAGCCAAGGATCCTGGATTCACTCCATAAGACGCACACACATTTCCCCTTAATTTTTGGAGGGGAAAATGTGCGTCTTATAGAGCGAGAAATACGGTACAGCCTTTTCGGCCGAGGGGAACACAGCATTCATGGGCACCATCCCCTTGGCAGCTCCTTCCGCTCTCTGCAGTGCCACCTCAGTGTGTGCCATTGCAATGAAGACAACGCTCTTCCCTTGCCTGGCCCCACCTTGGTTTTCTTCCCCTTGTATCTCATTGCCGTTTCTAAGCTCCTTGGGGCAGGGCCTCCTTTGAAGCGCTGTGCATGTTGATGGTTCTGTGCAAAGTAATCACCATCATTAGTAATAATCCATGCATACTGATTCAAGCTGCAAGAAAGGCAGTTTTGCCTAGACATTAGGAAGAACCTATTCTGGTTCTTCAAGATCCTGTTTGGTGGCGGAACGGTTTCCTTCGAGAGATGGTGGACTCTCCTTCCTTGGAGGTTTCTAAGCAGAGCTTGGGGGGCCATCTGTCTTGGATGCTCTAGCCGAGATTTCAGCCTTGCCGGGGGTTGGACTGGATGACTCTGGGGGTCCCTTCCAACTCCACGATGCCGTGATTCTGTGGTGATGTCCACTGAGCAGGTGGGATTTGGGCTGCATTTGCAGGCGAAAGCGTTCCCGTGATGAAGACCCCCTTGCCCCAGACGGACAACACCAAGCCCTGGAAAGTTCACAGCGTGGAAGACTACCGCCGACACGTCCTCTTCTGCGGCACAGAGGTCATCCAGACCAAGCGAGCCGGAAAAGGCCCCGTCAGGGCCGTCGTGCTACAGACAGGTGAGTCAAGCAGCTGTTGTGTGAAAAAAACTGCCCCCTTTCCCTTATGGGGTATGCAGGAGCCCCATAGAGTCCTTTGTAGGTTCTCCATTGGTTGGAGAAAATAACAGAGGTCAGGCAGAGAATATTGAGAAGCAAAGCAGCTAGTAAGCCTGATCTTTATTGAACTGTTGCAACGGGGTCCCTACTCACCCCACGCAGGAGGGAGGAGAGAACCCAGAACATTGGTGTGCAAGCCCTTATATAGACTTTTGAAATTCCCCACCCTGGAGCCCAAGACCACCCCCCAAAACATCATACATGCCTCGCAGAAAGAGGTGGTCCCCAGCAGAAACTGGAGTGTGTTGCTTCTCTCCTGTCTGCCAGGATACCTGATCCTGCCTAATCTGATTGCCTTTTCTGGGTAGCCTGGCCATTCCTTGGAGATGGTAAATCCTTAGTTCCTGAATCTCTTACGCATATTGAGAGTGTGCTCAGCTTCACAGATACTTGCCAGACTGTATTTACAGCGAGGTGTAAGCAGCCCCTACAATTGGAAAGCTTTCCCCATTTCCTTCCTCCTTACAAACACTATATGTACTGTTTCAGACACTATACTTACGCATGTGTGTTTCCCTTGTACATTTATGAACATTTATTTTTATATATACCATATTTTTCACTCTATAAGATGCACCCGACCATAAGACACACCTAGTTTTTAGAGGAGGAAAAAAAGAAAAAAAATATTCTGAATCAAATGTTGTTGAAGAGGCTTTGCACGGTTATCAATCCCTCTTGCTGTTCTGGCTTCTGGGATAGCTGCGCAGCCTGCATTCACTCCATAAGACGCACACACATTTCCCCTTACTTTTTAGGAGGGAAAAAGTGAGTCTTTTAGAGCGAAAAATACGGTGTGTGTGTGTGTGTGTGTATGACCTTAGAATTCCTATAACACAGCTTTGTGATTTTGCACCTCTTTAAGGTAGGGAGATGGGTGACCCTGAGTGCGGGGGAGGGGGGGAGAGGAGAGAAAAATCGAAGCTATTTTTGCAATTAGGACTCTTGCCTGTTGGTCCCTGGGAAGGTCATGGCCTCCCTTTTCCCTTCCTTCATGCCCTCCTTCTGCCCCCCCCCGGTTTCTTTCTCATGCAGATGAAGGGATTTGGAGGGAGGCGGTTTTGCAGGTGACAGGGGTGTGGTGGTGGGGGGTGGAAAGTTAAACTATGGAACTCTTCCTGAAGTGAAGCGTGACTCTCCTTTCTTGAAAGTTGATGGTGCATGTGATGAATGCATGCAAAATCCTAAATTGAGCTTGTCTCACCTGGTGCCAAGAGGAAGCGCTTTGCTTTTGAAAACTAATAATAGCATCCAGGGAGGCGGGAGAATGCAGACCTGCAGGTTGTGTCAAAGAGCCTCTTCTCCAGGCCTGATTCTGGTGCCCCAAAAAGGGTAACCGTGTCTTGGGCAGCTCAGTGATAAGCGAAACCTTTATCGTCAGGAGTATTCAGTCTGCTCTGTGGAGCGGGAAGGGAGTTCACTGGCATCCAGGAACGAGATGGGTCCTTTTCCATGGCCTTGTTGTGGCCTTTCCACCCCCATCGTCCAGCTCAGACACTGAGGTCCAGCTCTGAGGGCCTTCTGGCGGTTCCCTCCCTGCGAGAAGTGAGGTTACAGGGAACCAGGCAGAGGGCCTTCTCAGTGGTGGCACCCACCCTGTGGAATGCCCTCCCTTCAGAGGTCAAGGAGATGAGTAATTATATAACATTTAGGAAACATCTGAAAGCAGCCCTGTGTTGGGAGGTTTTTAATGTTTGATGTTTTTATTATGTTTTTAGATGTGCTGTAAGTTGCCCAGGGTGGTTGGGGAAACCCAGCCAGGTGGGCAGGGTATAAATAAATAAACAAATAAATAATGATGCTGCTGATGATGATGGCAGGAGATGCATGTCTGGCCCCCCACAGCCAACTCTGTGGGCTCTCCCCACCTGCCTCCCGGTGGCTGGTTATCACGCAAGAGGATTAGAACTCTTCCAATACTTGGAGAGGGACGCGGGTGGCGCTGTGGGTTAAACCACAGAGCCTAGGACTTGCTGATCAGAAGGTCAGCAGTTCGAATCCCCGCGACGGGGTGAGCTCCCGTTGCTCAGTCCCTGCTCCTGCCAACCTAGCAGTTCGAAAGCGCGTCAAAATGCAAGTAGATAAATAGGTACCGCTCTGGCGGGAAGGTAAAAGGCGTTTCCGTGCGCTGCTCTGGTTCGCCAGAAGCGGCTTAGTCATGCTGGCCAGATGACCCGGAAGCTGTACGCCGGCTCCCTTGGCCAGTTGGTCACGACTGGACCTAATGATCAGGGGTCCCTTTACCTTTACCTTACCGATATCTGGAAGGAGGAGCAAGCCTTCTTTCTGCTGATCCAGAGAATGGAAGCTGAACCAAAGGATTTAGGCTGCAAGAAAGGGGGTCCCCGCTCAACCACAGAAAGAACTTTTGGAGGGTGAGAGCTGTTCCACAGTGGAAGGGTCTCCCTCGGAAGGTGGGGGCCTCTCCTTCCTTGGAGGGTTTAAAGCAGAGCTTGGACGGCCATCTCTCAGGGATGCTTTAGCCGAGATTCCTGCATTGCAGGGGGCTGGACTAGAGGACCCCCGTGGTCCCTCCCCACTCTATGACTCTATTGCTGGGAAAGTGTGCCTGCCCTCTGGGTTCCTTCCAAGTCATTGTTCTTAGAGCTAGTTTCATATGAGGCTGTTTCTGGGACCGCAGGCGCATGCCATCTTACACACTCCAAAGCCATAAGAAATCCAGTCATAGACACCTTTATTAGAATCACTGAACTATAGAGGGTTGTCTGGTCCAACCCCCTGACAGACGGCCAGCTGCGCTTGGGCTCCGTGGAGCTTCCTCCAGAGTAAGCACGCAGAGGATTGCAGCCTAAATCCGAGCGCAAGAAGGATGGAATGTGGGGCTCTTACCTTGAATGCCAAGTTCTCTGGGAAGCCAAAGGACAAGGCGTGGAGATAACTCCTTGGGCCGAGTCTGTGTCCTGCGTTCGAGTGTCGCCCATGCCACGTTTTGCTGCAGGTTTCAACACCGCCAAGGGAGACCTGGTGAGGTCCATCCTTTACCCGAAGCCCCTGAACTTCCGCCTCTACCGAGAAGCCTTCCGCTTCATCGTGGGCCTGGCTCTGATCGGCATCCTGGGGCTGGTCTACACCATCGGGGTGTACGTGAGCCGCAAGGTGAGTCTCGGAGAGACAGCACGGTCTAGTGGTTAGAGTTCTGGGCTAGGACCCAAATCCCCATTGGGCTGTGACGCCCACTGGTTGGGACCTTTTCTCTGCCTCTCCTACCTCACAAGGCTGGATCAGGAGGGGCTCCTTGAGTAGCCTGGAGGGAAAGGTGGGTTTGAATGCAATGAATTAATAGATGGGGCTGGGCGGGGGGCTTGGACCGAGCCCCTTAAGGCAGAAGGGCATGGCCGACCCGCTGACCACATCTGCCCGGTGTGTGTTTGTGTCCTCCCAGCAACCCGTCTCGGACACGGTGACCATGGCGCTCCTCCTCATGACGGTCGCGGTCCCTCCGGCCATTCCGGCCGCCTTGACCACCGGCATCGTCTACGCCCAGAGGAGGCTGAAGAAGAAGAAGATCTTCTGCATCAGCCCTCAGAGGATCAACATCTGCGGGCAGATCAACCTGGTGTGCTTCGACAAGGTGCCATCTGTGGGGAATGCCCTTGGGGTTTCAAAGTCCAAATCGGAACAGACTTTGTCCTAAAACGGGAGAGTTGGAAGGGATCCTAAGCGTCATCTGCCGCAATCCCTGACGGAGGGACACCCCAAGTCTGCTTGAAGCCCCCCAAGGAAGGAGAGACTTGGAATCTCTTTTCTTGTAGTTTGAATCCTTTGGTTCTGGTAATGCGGTAATTTGGGTTTCAGGCACTGAACTTTCGCCAATGAATTGCAGGGTAGAGCCCAGAGAGTACACTTTGCCCTGGGACACAAACTTTATAGGGAAAATATACATCATTTTGGCTCTTTCATCCTCTTCCCAACCTCTGTCTGCCACCCCATCATCTCTCATCCAACCAGTTCTTGGAAACACTTTCTCAACCCCTTTTTTAAAAAATGTACACGCAGAGCCCTCCTTGCTCCTTATCAGGAGTTGTTTCTCATTCCTAACCTTCAAGCATTAACAGTTTGGGGGTCTGGCCGCACTCTTGGGTTCGTGACTCTGGCCTTGCTGGTAATGGGTTTTACAGAATTTCTACCTCAGGCCCCAGGAGGGACCATGGCTTTGTACAGCGGTCAGCAACCTTTTTCAGCCGTGGGCTGGTCCACCATCCCTCAGACCTTGTGGTGGGCCAGACTATATATTGGGGGGGAAATTGAACAAATTCTTCCCCAGCCACTCTGGGCGGCTTCCACAAAGACCCAAAATACACTAAGATGTCACACATTAAAAACTACCCTGAACAGGGCTGCCTTAAGATATCTTCTGAATGTCAGGTAGTTCTTTATCTCTTTGACATCTGATGGGAGGGCATTCCACAGGGCAGGCGCCACCACCGAGAAGGCCCTCTGCCTGGTTCCCTGTAGCTTTGCTTCTCGCAATGAGGGAACCGCCAGAAGGCCCTCAGCGCTGGATCTCAGTGTCCAGGCTGAACGTTGGGGGTGGAGACGCTCCTTCAGGTACACTGGGCCGAGGCCGTTTGGGGCTTTAAAGGTCAGCACCAACACTTTGAATTGTGCTTGGAAACGTACTGTAGGTCTTTCAGGACTGGTGTTATGTGGTCTCGGTGGCCGCTCCCAGTCACCAGTCTAGCTGCTGCATTCTGGATTAGTTGTAGTTTCCAGGTCACCTTCAAAGGTAGCCCCACGTAGAGCGCATTGCAGTAGTCCAAGTGGGAGATAACCAGAGCATGCACCACTCTGGCAAGACAGTCTGCGGGCAGGGAGGGTCTCATCCTGCGTACCAGATGGAGCTGGTAGACAGCTGCCCTGGACACAGATTTGACCTGCGCCTCCAAGGACAGCTGTGAGTCCAAAATGACTCCCAGGCTGTGCACCTGGTCCTTCCGGGGCACAGTTGCCCCATTCAGGGGTAACTGCCTTGAAGCCTTTGGAAACCCCCAGAGGCACCCTGTGGGTGCCAAGAATGCTTCACGCCTCCAGCGCTTTCATTCCTGGGAGGTTTCTAGTCCTCAGGAGTTCTTTCCTCAAGGCTCAGCGGCACCCAGGGGCTGGGCTTCCACTGGGCAAGGGAGAAGGAAGCTTGCGCCCCACGGAGAGCTTCCCGGTTCCCCCAGGGGCCTTCCCGTCTCTCTCTGCCCCCCTCCCCGCTTTGTGGGTCCATCCCTCGCCTTCACCCACCCACAAGGAGATCTGTGCCTGAGCTGCCCTGTGATGCTTGAGCTGAGCGTCGGGGCCTCCGCCTTCTGACCAGGGATGCCCTGTGTCTGTTTCCCCCCACCTAGACTGGCACGCTGACAGAGGATGGCCTGGATCTGTGGGGCGCCGTCCCCTGCGAAAAGAGGAGGTAAGCCCCCTAGAATGGTAGCGTTGCAAAGGGAAGTTGTGGTTGTGGTTGTTGTATCCCAGTGATCATCTGGTCCAACTCCCCGGGGTGGCCAGAAAATTCCTTTTAAGTAAACCTGAATACGGAGAGATTAATGAAGAAGCGCTGCCCAGCCAAGGGGGCTGCAAAGCCTCAGGCACAAAGTGCGGCCTCTGCTTGGCTCCAGCCCCAGACGGAGAGGGAGGGGGGGGGTTGCTGCTGTCCAGCTTCCTGCTGCCAAGGAGAGGCTTTGGGGAAATCTAGCAAGCCAGCCCTGCTCCTTTGCAGATTCCGGCAGCAGAGAACAGTGGAAGGTTTAGTCCTCTTGGCAGCACCTGCTTTGGGGACGGCAGCAGATTCATTTCAGAAGTCTTAAATACAAAAGGTTAAGGTGCCAACAGCCCATCTAGTCCAGCAGCACAATAATCAATATTCCTTCCTTCCTTCCTTCCTTCCTTCCTTCCTTCCTTCCTTCCTTCCTTCCTTCCTTCCCTCCCTCCCTCCTCCTCCTCCTCCTCCTCCTCCTCCTCTTCCTCCCCCTCCTCCTTCCTCTCCTTCCTCCTCCTCTTCCTCCCTCCTCTCCTTCTCCTCCTCCTCCTCCTCCTCCTTCTACACCCCTTTGGCTCAGCGCCCTGTTCAAGGGAAGCCCTAAATCTTGTTCTGAAGGAGCCACTGTGTGTTTGGCCTCTGGAACGAAAGGATTAAGGAGGTTATGTTGACAGTTTCCAACAAGGGCCAATTGTTTGTGGAGTAAAGATGGGTGTGGAGGGGGTGAGCAGTGACTGGATGGCGGATTTAGGTGCTCCAAAAGCCTTCCTCCCCCTAACTTGGACCTCCTTCCTGGGAGACCAGTGAGAAAGAGAGAGATGGAAAGGTTTCTGGTCGGATAGCACAGCTGGAGGCAGGAGCGCTTGCTGGAAACCACAGGAGGGGAAAGGACTCTTGGGTTGGACTAGATGATCCATGAAAACAAGAAAATCAAGAAAAAATTACAATACTTCAAAACATTACAAAACGTTAAAATGCTGAAAGAACAAGCAACAAGCACATCAGCATTTCTGAGCCTCTGATTCAGGGAAATCTCTCCAGTGGGGAAAGCAGACATTTTGCATCCTTCCTTGGCCTGTGGGTGGACTAAACTTCATTTTTACTGCTCCCTTTTCCTCGCCCCTGACCTCCAGTCTTATCTTTTCATAGACCACTCTGAGGGTTTGCTGTTCTTGGTTTTTTTGCAATAAAACAATGTACAAATTTTATGAAACAAATCAATTAACAAATGGATTGGATTACCCCCAGATTGGGCAACCTGCATTTTCAAGGGGGAGACCAGCGGAAGGGCAGACAAGGCCAATGAAATAGGCTTTCAAAGATCTGCAGCTGCGCAGTCAACTCTGCTGTGGGGCAGCCCTTCGCCTTAGACCCAAAGACGGGCTTCTTCTTTCATCCCTGGCAGCCTTGCTGCTCCAGACAACCCTTTGAGACTCCTCTTATCCACTTGGGCTGCAGATCCTGGAGCCCAAGCAACATCTGCTGTGTTTATTATTATTATTATTATTATTATTATTATTATTATTATTGATACATCAAGAAGAAAGAAAAGAAGAAAAACAGAAATGAAAATGAACACAATATTATTTACAAAACAATGAAGCAAAAATTGGTCTTTGAACTATAGACCCAACCTCCCATCTGTTCCTTACTTCAATTATATATTGCTGGTTGCCAACACACACTTTAATCCAAATTTGACTAATCCTTAATTTATTTTAAATCTGATGTCTTTCTTAAAGCTACTACTGAAATTGCTCGAATGCTGCAACAGAATTTAAACTGCAGTAATTATTTTTCAAATGTACTTTAAAGACCTCCTGTTTTGGTTTATTCTTTATTTTTCTGATAAACTATCTAACTCTGCATATTCTGTCACTTTTTGAATCCATTCATGAATAGAGCGGATTTTATCACTTCCGTTTTGCAGCAATAAGAACTGTTGCTGCAACTGTAGCATATAAAAAGATACCCTTCGGTTTTTTGTGGGATATCCAAATCTATAATTCCCAGCTGATAAGCTTCTGGTTTTCTGTGAAAAGAGATCTTTAACCTTTTTTGTAATTATGAATGGATGCTCTCCCCAAATACCTGGGTTTTCTTACATAGCCACCACATGTGATAGAGAGTGCCTGATTTGCCTGGGAGAGAGTTTTGAAGGCGCCCTTGGCTAGTGTGGCTAATCGGCACCCCAAACTCTTTCTGCCTCCGGCAAGAGGGACCTGGGGCTCATGCTCTGCTTTCCCTCCCAGCTTCCAGGCTGTGCACAGCTTCTCCAGCGGCTGCCCGCTGCCGTGGGGGCCCATCTGCAGAGCCATGGCCACCTGCCACTCCCTGCTGGTCTTGGACGGGAAGATCCAAGGGGATCCACTGGATGTCAAGATGTTTGAGGGCACCAACTGGGTGAGTCGACTTTCGCACTCAGGGCTGCCGAGGAGGAAAGAGCTGGGAAGGCAGGGCATAATAATAATAATATTTTTTGTTTAGTCATGTCGGACTCTTCGTGACCCCATGGACCAGAGAATGCCAGGCACTCCTGTCTTCCACTGCCTCCTGCAATTTGGTCAAACTCATGCTGGTAGCTTCGAGAACACTGTCCAGCCATCTCGTCCTCTGTCGTCCCCTTCTCCTTGTGCCCTCCATCTTTCCCAACATCAGGGTCTTTTCCAGGGAGTCTTCTCTTCTCATGAGGGGGCCAAAGTGTTGGAGCCTCAGCTTCACGATCTGTCCTTCCAGTGAGCCCCTTTACCTTTATCTCCAGGCCCCTCAAGGATTCCTCTTAAGACTTGGCTTCCAGACCCTTCACCATCTTTGCCACCCTCTAATCTGGTCCTTGAGACTCTCCCAGTCGCAATGTGTGTTCTCCTCCTTCCTTCTTACAGAAAATGGAGGAGTCCAGCTCGGACGGGAGCAAAGGCAGCGTGCAAGTGAGCCGCACCATTGTCAAGCCAGACAGCAACGCCGCCCAGGTAAGTGCCGCACCTGCCCCTGAGCGGCCCCCGCCCTGACAAAGCATCCTGCCACTCTCGTCCTGGGGGAGCAAGCAAGGCAGGGGGCGGCTGGCATCACAGCATCCGCTCAGTGAAAGAGCTTCTGGGGCAAAGGAGCCTTGTAGCTTCATTTGTGCATCTGCTACCCCGGGCTTATTCGGGACGGAGGCAAAGGGAAGGTTTTTGCTGGAAGATTCAGGGCAGATGAAAGGAAGTCGGCAGCACATAGTTAAACGATGGGACTCCCTCCCACAGGAGGCAGTGATGGCTGCCAGAGGATAGGACCGATTTATGGAGGAGGAGGAGAGGGCTAGCGATTCTGCTGTGCCTCCCCAATTGGAATCAGTGATGCTTCTGAATCCCCTTTGCTGGGAACCACAGAAGGGGAGATTTGCTCTTGTATTCGAATCCTGATTTCTGGTTTCCCATTGGGGCATCTGGTCGACCACTGTGAGAACAGGATTCTGGGCTCAATGGGCCATTGGCTCTTCCTATGCTCTTAAGAAATACATAAAAGCCATCAGGGATCTTCTGTTGCCATTCTGACCTGGGAGGCATGGAAGGAGGCAGTTTAGAGACAGGACCAAGCCAGAAAGAACTTTCTGTGGATAATTTTAAACAAGGAAAAGTTAAATGCACGACTGCAGGGGGAACAGTGGACCGGCAGCAGCTGCTGGCGGTTGTTCTCTTTTAGGGCAGACTGAGAGCCACACACCTTCGCATCCTGGCACCGCAGTGCTCAGTCAGTTGCCCCGAAGAGAAGCCCACAAGGCAAACATGAGCACCATCTCTCTCTCCCAAGACTGTGTTCCCAGCCATTGGTGTTCAGAGGCAGGTGATGGTGAGGACTGAATTGATTGCCTGTCCTTCACGGGCAGGTCCCAGGAGTGGGCTACAACCTTTTAAAATTCAGTATGAAAACAAATTACAGGCAGAGGAAGAGGGTGGGTCCTGGCAAAGAACAGAGAAGGTGTCAGGTGCACCTCGGGGGGGGGGAGTTCCACATTTTGGGGGCTGCTACAGAGAAGGCCCCCTTCCAGGTTTTTGGCACCCCAAACTTCGGCGGTGGCAGGACTAACCAAGAGAGTCCCCTCTGCCAATCTTCACACCCAAGGGGGTCTCTAGGGAAGGAGGTGGTCTCTGCTTCCTGGACTTGGGCCCAAGTCATTTGCGGCTTTAAAATGTGTAGGTGTGCTTGAAATGGAGCCTGATAATTAATACAGTAATACAGTCATACCTCGGGTTGAAGTAGCTTCAGGATAAGTATTTTTGGGTTGCGCGCTGCAGCGACCCGGAAGTAACGGAGCGCGTTGCTTCTGGGTTTCACCACTCGCGCATGCGCAGATGGTCAAAATGATGTCACGCGCATGCGCAGAAGCGTCAAATTGCGATCCACGCACACGCAGATGCGCGGACGCGGGTTGCGTTCACTTCTGGATGCGAACGGGACTCCGGAACGGATCCCGTTCACATCCGGAGGTACCGCTGTACCTCCGTGAATGTGCGCCTTGTCTAGCGTCCATTCCAGCAAATGTCCGTGGCAAACCCAGAAGTACCTAAACGGGTTACTTCTGAGTTTGCTGCTCGCACATGCGCAGAAGCACTAAATTGCACTTCGCACATGTGCAGAAGCGCAGATGTGGTGCTTTGCCCTGAGTCCGTTTCGGCTAGCGTCCGGGGCTCCGGAACGGATCCTGGTCACAAAACAAGGTACGACTGTATGCGGCGGTTTTAAAATGGGGCTTGTTTGAGTTCTAAAGGCAAATCTGAGCACTGCATTTTGAGTCGGTTGATGTTTCCGAGCCATCTTCAAAGGCAGCCCTAGTTAGGGCACATTGCCGTAATCTAATCTGCTCCTTCCTGGACTGGAGAACTCGGAACACACAAGACTTCTGTCTTTTCAGGATTCACTTTCAGTTTTTTGGCCCACACCCAGCCCATCGCTGCCTCCAAACACCTCTCTAGCATCTCAGCCCCCTCTCCCAATTCAGATAGGTCAGAGAGACAGGGCGGGGTGTCGTCTGCGTATCGACAACTCCTCCCTCCCAACCTCCCAGCAGCTCCATAAAGAGGTTCAAGAGTGGGGCACGAAAATGGGGGGGGGGGGGCGAGATGGATCCTTACAGGGCACCACAGGACAACTCCCATGGGACCAGCCTCCCTAGACTACTTTTTGGACAGAGCTCTAGAGGTTAGAAGCAGAACCACTGATGTGCCTCCCCAGCCCTCTTGAGATGCTCTAGAAGGATGCGGTGGTCCATGGGGCTGAAAGCCACTGCAAGATCAATAAAAATGCACTCACCCATTTCTCTCCCGACAAATGCCCTCAGCCAGGGCGACCAAGGCAGCCTCAGTGTCCTGGCTGGGCCGGAAGCCTCTAGACTGAACTGGTTCCAAATATTCAGTCTCCTGATATTAGCCAACGGGTGAGAATTATCTAATGCTTCCTGGTCCAGGCAGGGCTTCTGAAGGAAGGGGCACATCACCATCTCCTTCAAGGCGGGCATTCTCCTTCCTCCTTGGACCCACCCAGCCATGAGGGGCAAGGGGCAAGGGGGCTGGCATTCGGGCACCCTTCTTGAAGCAGCTTCTCTACATCTTCAGGATGCAGTAATATTTCTTTATTTATTGTTTCATTAGTAAAAATTACAGTGTAGAAAAACCTCAAAGCGGTTAATAAAAAAGATAAAGAAATTATCGTCAAAAAAACCGTATAGGAGTATGGTAATTTAAAGTTAAAGCCACAGGAAAGCAGATCAAAACTCATGCCAACTTTCTAAGCGTCTGGGTGCAAATCTGAGCAGTTTTGTCCCTAAAGCGCCTGGCAGAGTTTCTACAACCACCAGGGACTCTGGCGGGTCAGAGCAATGCTCTCTTGGCCAGACCACCCAAACCCGTTGACCGGTCGGAAAAGCTCTGCCGGACGGCCGCTCGGGGAGGCAGAGAAGTCCGCTCTTTGCCGCTGCCGCCGCATGTCAGGGTGTGGCAGTGCAGCCTCCCACATGTTGCAGCCACCAACCCTCCTGTTTCGTTGCACGCAGGTCATTAGAGAGCCAAGGCAGCCTACGTTCTTCACAGTGACGGCGGGACCGTTCAAGCGCAGGCCATCCAGGCTACCTCTGATCCTGGAGGTAGTATAGAATCATAGAGCTGTAGGATAGTAGAGTCGGAAGGGGCCTCGGGGGGTCATCTAGTCCAACCCCCTGCAATGCAGGAATCTCAACTCAAGCAGATGCTCTCTGATTTCAGTCTATTGTTACTTTAACTTCTTGAAAGTTTGGCATTATTGTTGTTAACTTCACTATACCAGCTGCACTGGCTCCCGGTGGAGTATAGGATCAGGTTTAAGGTGCTGTTTTTAACCTTTAAAGCCCTATACGGCCTAGGACCCTCGTACCTATGGGACCGCCTCTCCTGGTATGTTCCATGGAGGACCTTAAGGTCCATAAATGACACTTTGGAGGTCCAAGCCGCAAGGTGCTTAGATTGGTCTCAACTAGGGCCAGGGCCTTTTCAGTACTGGCCCCAACTTGGTGGAAGGCTCTGTCACAAGAGACTAGGGCCCTGCGGGACTTGACATCTTTCCGTAGGGCCTGCAAGACAGAGCTGTTCTGCCTGGCCTTTGGCTAGGGCACAGCCTGACTCCCTCCTTTGGCAATCCTCACAGAACTTTTAGCGCTAATGGTTGCCATTAATTTGATTAGAATTAAATTTACAATGAAATGATTTTAGAATGTTTTATCATTTTACTGTTGTTAGCCACTCTGAGCCCGGCTTTGGCTGGGGAGGGCGGGATATAAATAAAATTTATTATTTATTATTATTATTACTGATAATTTTGCTACCTTCTTTGTAAATAGCTCTGAGGGGGGTTCTTTTTACATCAAGTGGCGTATAAATTTTATCAGGGTGGATTTGATTTAAATCACAATTTTAAATCACTAGTCAGTAAGACATGATTTAAATCATTTTTTTTTTACATAAAGACTAATTCTTGCCAGTATAATCTTAATATTTACAACCAGATGAAGGTTTCAATTTTGGAATAATAAATTTTCAGAGTAGTTTTTACAGTTATATCAAAAATTACTGATTTAGTTATACTATTAGAAATACATAGACAGACAATTATGCAGAGACAGTGGAACCTCGGTTGTCGGACGCTTCGGAAACCGAACAATTAGGAACCCGAAGGCCGACAACCTGGAAGGGAAGGCTTCCGTTTTTGAACGTGCTTCAGAAGTCAAACGGCTTCCAAGCTGCGTTTCTCCATTTTAAAAAAGGAATTTGCCAACCAGCAATTACACCTCGGTCGTTGAACGTTTTGGAAGTCAAACGGTCTTCCGGAACAGATTACGTTCGACAGCCGAGGTTCCACTTTCAAGAAACAGAACAGGGAGTCCGTTCCACTGTCAAACGCCGCTTACGGTCAGAACGTTCTTCTGGTGTTTAATCCGATTCTCCTTCCTTGCAATGTGAATCCGTTGGTTCGGGTCCCACAGTTTGGACCAGCAGAAAACAAGCTGCCTCCCTCTTCCCTGGGGCAGCCCTTAAGATACTGGAAGATAACTCTCATGTCACCTTGCAGTCTCCTGTTTTCGAGGCAAAACATACCCAGCTCCTTCAAGCGTTCCTTCTGAGTCTTGGTTTCCACACCCTTGATCATCCCGGGCGCCCGCCTCTGCACACCATCCAGCTTGTCAAGTTTCTAGCCCTCATTGCGCCTCCTAGTTCAGGCCCTACGTAGACGCCTTGGGTGTCGTGGTGCTGAATAGAAGCCCCCTGCTTGCGGGGAGACCTCTCACTAAGAGCCTCCTGTTCCCGCCCCTCCCAGGCCCCCTTGGAAGGCATCGCGATCTTGCACCAGTTTCCCTTCTCCTCCTCTCTGCTGAGGATGTCTGTCATCACGCAAGAGATTGGGAAGGACGGCTACGACCTCTACATGAAGGGAGCCCCAGAGACGGTGGCCGGCTTTTGCAAAACCAACACCGGTAAGGCCCCAAGATCCATGTCCCTGTAAGGTAAACAAGGTAAAGGACCCCTGGACGGTTAAGTCCAGTCAAAGGCAACTGTGGGGTTGCGGCGCTCATCTCGCTTTCAGGCCAAGGGAGCCGGCATTTGTCCACAATAAGTATCCAAACAAACAGCTGGGTCAGACTTCAGGGGGAGCCGTTTTAAACGTCCATCTCCGAGGGCCTTCTGGCAGTTCACTCCCTGTGAGAAGCGAGGTTGCAGGGAACCAGGCAAAGGGCCTTCTCGGTGGTGGCGACCGCCCTGTGGAACTCCCTCCCATCAGATGCCAAGGAAATAAACAACTAGCTGACTTTTAGAAGACATCTGAAGGCAGCCCTGTTCAGGGAAGTTTTTAAGGTTTGATGTTTTATTGTGCTTTTAACATTTTGTCGGAGCCGCCCAGAGTGGCTGGGGAAACCCAGCCAGATGGGTGGAGTATAAATAATAAATTATTATTAAATCATTATTATTTTAAACAAGCACATCCTTGGTTAGCTGCCTCTGCTGCTCTTTGACTGGCGCCTCTCTTCTCTCCCCCTCCTCCCTGGCAGTCCCAAAGAACTTCCACAGGGAGCTGAAGTGCTTCACGTCTCAAGGCTTCCGCGTCATTGCGCTGGCTCACAAGGGGCTCCGTCTGAACAGGGGCGTCAACCTGGACAACTTGGAAAGGTAATGGTGGCTGATGTTGGGCCTCCGGGGCTGATGCTGGCCTGACTCCACCAGGCATGGGCTCCATTTATATCGTTCATTATCAAGAGCGGAGTCATCTCCCGTGTCAGGGGTCATCCACACTTACCTTTCTGCCGTGATTTCCAGGCAGGGTCTGCAATTTAAGGCTCAGGGTCTTCACGCCCCCCCACCCACCCACCTTGCTTCCTGCTCTGGAGCTTTCCTCACAAAAACCTGCATTTTGAAGATCAGTTGGCGCAAATGGCAGTCCGCAGAAAACACAAATTGACATTTGCACCGACTGGGCTTTATAGAGCCAATTTTTGCAGGGAAAACTCCAGGGTGTGTGTGTGGGGGGGGACCCCATCAGCACTCACACACAGAACTTTTAAGCATGGAAAGAGCAGGGCCAAAAGGTAAGTGTTATAGGATTTCTAAGGTCTCATATATATAAATCATATGTTCCTAAATTTACAAGGCAAACACATACAGAAGTATGTAAACCACATGTCTGAAATAGTACAGGAGAGAAATCCTGAAGCCATTTTGACTCTTCCAAATGGACCTCAAATGTTTCTCTGCAAGGAGGATGGAAATGGGAAAGCCTCCCCACTGTCTCTTTGCTCACAAATCCTGTCTTAAGGGCGTATCTGTGTATGAATAGGGTGAGCCTGTGACCTGGAGTCAGGAACTGAGCAGGGCCGTCTTACCCATAGGCGCTAGGGGTGAGGGACACCCGGTGCTGCGATCTCAGGGGCACCAGGCTGAGAGTCCGGGGCCCGAGAGTTGGGTCTGGGGAAGAGCCCGTCCGTCGGTTGGAGCTCTGCGATGGGCTCTTCTGCTGCGGGCGGCTCTGTGCTGCAAGTTTGGGAGCGAGCGAGCCAGCGAGACGCTGAGGCGGTTGGCACTATTTTTCTAATAACGTGGATGAGCCTCACTGGCAGCCAGAGGCATAGTGGGGGACGACTTCATAAAGGACTCTCTGTGGGGCCAGCCACCTCAAGGCCGTGCTCCAGAGCAGCCCCCAGGCCTCTCTGGGCCTCTTCAGAAGCCCCTCACTCTCCCCTCTTGCCTCCCAGAGACAAGCTGGAGTCTGGCCTGACCTTCTTGGGTCTCCTGGTCATGGAGAATCGGCTGAAGATGGAGACCCAGGCTGTCCTGGAAGAACTCAGCTCTGCTCGCATCCGCAGCGTCATGGTCACAGGTAGGTAGGTTGTGGTTGTGTGTTTGTGCGTTTGTGAAGGGTTTGCAAGGGGTTCTCCCTCGCTGGGGTTTCCCAAAGGCTTTAACTGGGGGGGAAAGATCAGGCCTTTATTGATGCAAACATACGTGGGGCTCAGTCTCTCTAAAAATCATAGGCGGGGGTGGAGGCAGGCTGGAACTGCATTGTAGTTGACAGATTTCCCAAGAAACGAAGCTTTCCTTTTGTGATTGGATACTGGCATTTGCAAATCCTGGGGGCCCAGGGGGAGGCAAATGAGCCCCACAAACAGCCCCACAGACTTTCTTCCTTCCCCTCACTTCCAGGCGACAATCTTCAGACAGCCATCACAGTCGCCAGGAACTGTGGGATGTTCTCCATTAGCAGCAGAGTGATCCTGGTAGAAGCCAGGGAGGCAGAGGGCTCCAACCGGGCATCCGTTACCTGGCAGCTGATAGAGGATGTGTTCAATTCCGACGAAGCCATGGTAAGGCAGGAGCTCCAGAGCTCTTTGCATAGCTTCAATCTGGGTGGAATGGGTGTGCCCCCAAGCTTCTGACCCCGTTTGGCTGAGATGCTTCCAATTGCGCAAATTCTGAAATAAGTCACCGGGGCGTAATTCCTGACTTCCAGACTCCCGACATCTCCATTGACATCTCTGATGCTAGCGGGAAAGAGAGCGACTTCCACTTCGCCTTGAACGGGGACACCTATCACGTCCTCATGAAACACTTTGGCAGTCTCCTGCCCAAGGTACGCTGAGGGGAAGGCGGTGGGTGGTCCCTAGGGCTGGTGGCAGGGAGGGAATGAGGAATGGGCCCCCCGTTGAGACCAGGACGCATCCTTAAGGGCACTTTCTTGGAACCAGCCTGCAATGCGGGACTTTCTTTGGGCGGAAGGGGCCTCCAGGTGTGTGTCTTGTGAAGCAATAAACGTCCTGCGCTTTCAGGGTGGGCTTGTACTGGACCGTCTTGCGTCCACGGCGCAAATGTTCTTTGGCGCTCCCAGATTTCTCCCGCGTCATTGACTCCTCTGCACGGCCTCCCTGGACTCCTCCGGGACACTGTTTCATAGAATCGTAGCATTCCGAACAGGAGGGATCCCCTAAGCACCATCTAGTCCAGCCCTCTGCAGTGCTAAAGAATCCCAGATAGATGGCCATCCTGTGGGAATGTTCAGGGATGCAGGAGAGGATATATTGTTTGATTATAGCCTTTCCAACTTGTGTTAACAAGTTCACAATTTAGCAGAGTAACATTCCCCTTTTTAAACTCACAGCGAATGCGTTTGCTCAGCTAAAGCCTCTATAATAACTGCTCTGGTATTTTCCCCTTATTCCCTCATAAAAGATAAGACACAACACAGTCTTCTAAAAAGAGTTTACTCACTCACATTCTGTTCACAATCGGATCCCAGAAGACAGACTTAGCTTAGAAAACTAACCTACACCTGGAAACTATCTCATAAGGAGACAGTCCCTTTGTCCTCTTTTGGCTGGAGGCCAAGAGAGCATCTTTGGCTAAGCAGATGTTGCTTCTTCGATGCATGTAGTCAAAGAGAGAGAGATGGCTGCCCTGCCCTGTGCTTTTGTAGTTACCTGCACAGGTGAGGCCACACCCACCTCTAGTCACATGCAGAGGAAGTCTGTCCCAGCCCAGAAGGAAACAGGAAGTTTACCTGCTGGCTGGACAAACATTCCTCCCCATGTGTAAACATGTTCACTCTAGGAATGTTGTACTTGACTGCTCTTGTGTTTCACATCCCACAGATCCAACCTCTGTTTAAAAACATTCAATGAAGGAGACGCCACTAGATGAGGCTTAGGGTCCCTTCAAACTCTACAATTCTATAATTCTGTGTTTGTTTGGTGGGGCATTTTTTTTCCTATCCACAGATTCTTCTGAACGCAACAGTGTTTGCCAGGATGTCTCCAGCGCAGAAGTCCAGCCTTGTGGAAGAATTTCAGAAGCTAGAGTAGGTTCCTTCCTTGCCATCGTGATTCTGGGACAGGGAGAAGGACCTTTTTGCCGTCACAGTAATGTTTAAGATATTCCTTGAATATAATCCATTCTTGATTTACCTTTTGCATCGAATACCCTCATACCCTCCCTGTCATTTTTGCCATTCGCAGATATTCTCATAGTTTAACTTGCCATTCAGATTTTGTAGGTATAGTTTCATTTTTCCAATACGTTGCAATAAAAATTCTGGCTGCGGATGTTGCATACATAAAGAGAGATCTTACTTCTTTTTTGATTTCAGTTGACGTTATCCCTAATAAGAAGGCTTCTGGTCATTTCGTGAATGGGATTTTTAACATCTTTTTTAAAAACAAAACAAAACAAAAACCTGAACTTTCAAATGATGTTCCCTCCTGTCTCCTAGCTACTACGTGGGAATGTGTGGCGACGGAGCCAACGACTGCGGGGTAGGTAATTAGATTTGTTAAATGATAATAATAATAAAGGATGTGGCGGGTCCTAAGTGGAAACCAAAAGGCGATTCCTGTTCCTACAATTCTCTTGATTCCATCTGAGATTGAATGGGGGCGATGGCTGATGCTGCTGCTCTTTCAGGCCTTGAAGATGGCTCACGCCGGGATCTCCCTCTCTGAGCAAGAGGCTTCCGTCGCGTCTCCCTTCACCTCCCAAATCCCAAACATCGAGTGTGTGCCGGAACTGATCAGGTGGGTTTTGCCTCCTTCGCTTCCGTGGCTTTGTTCCCGCCACGCCAAACCTCTCCGGAGGCGCCTTGTGGGACCCAGTGTGGCTTTCCTCCGCTGCCTCCTTCCTCCTGTTGTAATAATAATAATAATAATAATAATAATAATAATAACAGTCCCCACTCACCCCACGCAGGAGGAACCCAGAACAATGGTGTGCAAGCCCTTATATAGACTTTTGAAATTGCCCACCTTGTAGCCCAAGACCCCCCCAAAAAATATCATCCATACATCACAGAAGGAAACGGTCTGCCACACAAATCCTGCTAATGGTCACTGATTGCTTTACCTGGGCAGCCTGGCCATTCTTTTGTGATGGTCAATATTTTAGTTTCCTGAATCCTGGTCACAGGCTCACCCTATTCATACACAAATACGCCCTTAAGACAGGATTTGTAAGCGAAAAGGCAATGGGATGGCTTTCCCCATTTGCCTCCTTTACTGCAGAGGAATACCGTATTCTTTGCTCTATAAGACACACTTTTTCCCTCCTAAAAAGTAAGAGGAAATGTGTGTGCTTCTTACGGAGCGAATGCAGGCTGTGCAGCTATCCCAGAAGCCAGAGGTGCACACCAATCCCTCTTGCTCTTCTGGCTTCAGCGAAAGCAACGCAAAGCCTCTTGAGCGCAGGGGGAGCACTCCTGCCTCTTCGCTCAAGGGGCTTTGCGTTGCTTTCTTGTTTCTTGTTTTCCTCCTCTGAAAACTAGGTGCGTCTTATGGTCGGGTGTATCTTATAGAACGAAAAATACGGTATTTGAGGTCATTGGAAGAATCCAAATGGCTTAAGGGTTGCTCTCCCATACTGTTTCAGACACATGGTTCATATGTTTAGATATGTGTGCATTTATGAATTTTTATTCTGTATTTGAGACCTTAAAATTCTTATAACGTTTCCTTCTGTCCTGCTGCTGCTGGCACTGCTGCCATGGCCTCCATGCTGCAACAGGTACCCACTGGGACTGGCACACTCCTGGCACTTGCCCTGGCAAGCCTAGCCGCTTGCCGAGTCTTTCAGCCCCGAGTTGTCCTTCTGCACTTGAGCTGCCTCTTTCTCTTCCCCAGGGAAGGTCGTGCGGCCCTCGTGGCCTCCTTCTCGGTGATTAAATACCTGACCCTGTATGGGATGGGCCAGTTCATTGGCACTGCTCTGCTGTATTGGGTACGTACATATGTAAACATTGATGGGTGTAGATGTCAGGAGCTCGTCCTACACTTGAGTAGGACCCGGCAAAGACACATGCCCGACTGGCATGTTCCCTCCCTCCTGGTCAATTGTTCGGGAGCTTCAAAAGCTTTCTTCAGCCCGAACATCACAGCGACCGATGCCAACCGACACCGGCACACTTAGGGATCTGCAGAGTCTCCGCAGTTTGCGTGACAGACCTCAGCATTTTTGCCAATCTACTTTATTTACATCTAAACACACACGGAGCCCTGCAACGTGGCTCCCTCTCTCTCTAGCATCAGACAGCAAAGAGAGAAAGAACAAAGGACAATAGTCCCAATTCACGGAACACAGGAACACAAACATCCTGTCTCCGTCACTTCCCACTCTGTGGAGTCAAAACAGACACTGCCATGTGACAGACAACAGTCCCATGACTGCAATCATGGAGCAGGAATTCTAACAGTAGCTTCATCCAAAGGCCAAATGGTGGGTGACTGACGGCACGTGCCCCTAAACTGTAGTTCTAACTTGGAGGTAGACAATGGCTTCAGTTGAAGAGAGTCCTTTCTTTCCTTATTTTTATTACTGTAATTAATTAATATACTAATACTATTAATTACATTCCCTCCAAGGAGCTCAAGGTGGTTTCTATCTTCTCCTCCTCACCCACAGCAAGCTGCATTTCTGAGTGAGGGATTTGAACCCTGGTCTCTCCCCAGGTCACAGCCAGATCCTTGATCCACAGTGGTTCTCGTCTTTATAAAAAGCCTCCACCTAAAGGAGCTACGTGTTTGTTGCCTGGGATCCTGTAAGGCAGGGAAGTGATTTTGCCGCAATGGAGCGTGGACCCGTGTGCGAATCCAGGCCCAGCCAAACATCTTTGGGTGCCGTTGCAAAGCCCCCTAGACTCTCCCACTCGGTCTGAGTTAATTCCGCAACAATCCGAAGTTACAATCTGGGTGACAATCTGTCCACAAGCGGCAGGACTGAGAGCCCTCCGTGAACTCATTCTCTCTCTCTCTCTGCCCCACTTTTAGCAAATACAGATCTTTGGGAATATCCAGTACCTCCTTCAAGATGTCGGCATCACCCTAGTCGTGTGCCTAACAAGTAAGCAGATCACTGTGTTATGGGGTCGTGTATTTAGCAGGCGAGTTCCCTTGGGGGTTTGGGGCAGCTGCTACAAGGAAGGTGCACAGTCAGATGTGAAACACGCCAATTCCCTCTTGAGCTGAAGGGAGCCTGAATTTGACTTACCCCAACCTGAATGAGCAAGGGACACAGGTGGCGCTGTGGGTTAAACCACTGAGCCTAGGACTTGCCGATCAGAAGGTCGGCGGTTCAAATCCCCATGACAGGGTGAGCTCCCTTTGCTCGGTCCCTGCTCCTGCCCACCTAGCAGTTTGAAAGCACGTCAAAGTGCAAGTAGATAAATAGGTACCGCTCCGGCGGGAAGGTAGATGGCGTTTCCGTGCGCTGCTTTGGTTCACCAGAAGCGGCTTAGTCCTGCTGGCCCCATGACCCGGAAGCTGTACGCCGGCTCCCTCGGCCAATAAAGGGAAGGGCAACTGTCAGGGGTTCAGAGAGAGAGGCACAGGGTAGGCAGGAGATGGAGAGCGAGGGGGAGGAATTCCAAGCCAGCGAGGAAGAGGATGACAATGACTCAAGGGATTCCATGAGTCTTTCCAGCGAATCAGAGGATTCCCAGAAGGGGGCGCCGGTGGTCAGGGCCGGAGGAGCCCCAGGGGGGAAGTGTCAGGAGCAGGGTGCCAGCGGAGGATCCCAAAGTGGCAGCTGGGCGTCAGGACTAGCCTCCCCAGCAGCAGAGAAAGGAGGGGGGTCAGAGCAAGCCGCCCTCCCGGAAGGGGAGGGGAGCAGTGAAGGGAGTAGTGTAACTGTCAAAAGGAAAGTTAGAGGTTGGGCGCGCGCGCCTAGTTCAAATGTAGAGGCGCGCGGAAGTGCAGGGAGCCCGGAGGAGGGGCCAGGTCCCAAAGCCCGCAGGAGGGGGGGAAGAGCAGTCTGGGGATTCAGCGTCAGAGGAATCCAGAAGGGGCGCAACCCCAGGGGGCAGAAGGACCCTGCGGAAAAGGAAGGAGAGAAAGAGGTGGAGCAGCGCAAGTCTCTTAAATTGGTGCAGAGGAGGGAGTGACTCAGAGGGGACTTCGGCGGTCTAGCGTAAGAGACGTAAGGCTGCGCGCCTAGGATGTCAAGCAACCATGAACTGCAATAAACACCTTTGTATACAAGAAGACGTAGGCGTTGGTCTTTTGTGAGCTAAGACTTGAGGCAGCCTTGACAGCAACCTTTTTAAACTCTTTGCTTTCTCCATGCCATCTCTTCCTCCCCACAGTGAGCCTGACCCACGCCTACCCCAAGCTGGCCCCCTACCGACCCCCCGGGCGGCTCCTCTCCCCGCCGCTCCTGCTCTCCATCATCCTCAACGTCCTCTTCACCCTCACCGTCCAGGTCTTCGCCTTCCTGTATGTGAAGCAGCAGCCCTGGTACTCTGTCCTGCGCAGCCACAGGTGAGGCCCCCATCCAAAGAGCGCACCTCCCAGGGAGAGGCTTAGACGTGGGCTGGGGTGGGTGGCCAGGGGGTGCCATTTCCCTCTTGCTGGTGTCTAAGGGTAGAGGCTCCCCTTATTCCCAGAGGCAGCAGTGGGAGGGTGGGGCTGGAATCTCCCTTGGAGCTCACCCAGGCCACATCTCATGGAGAATACCCCCAATTTGCTCACGGGGAAGTCATACGAGATCCTCTCTCGGTGGAGCCTTCCTTCTGATCTGTTTGTGGGGAGGTTAGATGCCTCATCCTTTTGAGCTGCAAAGTATCTCCTTAAAAGAAAGAATTGGGAGGTGGTGCTGGGTGCTGAAGGGGCAACAGGGTTTAGTGAGCAGGAAGAACCTGTGACGGGGGGCAGTTCAGACTCTGAGGCTGGAGCAGAGGAGTGGGTTCAAGAGGCTGCGATATGTGAGATGTGATCCATGAGAGGCAGTCAAGTACAACATTCATTCTAATGCTAGAGAAGACATGCAGGGGAAGACATGCAGAAACTTCCTGTTCCTCCTGGCTGAAGCATCCTTGTTTTGCATGTGACTAAAGGTGGGCTTGACCAAACCTGTCCAGGTAACAAAAGGACGAGTCACGCAGCACACCTCTCTCCTTTTGACTCCCATCTTTGTTTGACCAGCTTCTAGCTAGGACTGCTCTGCTAGCTCTCAGCTAGCAGAAGCACTGGGATTATTCCCCCATATGGGGTAGATCCACATATTTGTAAATAAGTCTGCCTTCAGGAATCCAACTTTGAACTGATGTAAGTAAACTTCTTTTCATCATCTTTGAATAAGATTGTGGCATCTTTATTCTTTTAAGAGGGATTCAAAGGAACATACCAGGAACATACAATTCAATCTGAGACAGACTGAATTGTATAATAGTGAGAGGCTCACATGACCTGCAACCAGCTATCTGCTGTGCGTGTAAGAAGGGGAATTTAAACTCTGCTAAGTAAAGGAACTTGCTAGCACAAGTTAGGAAGGATATTAATTAACAATATCTCCTCTCTTGCCACCCTGAACATTCCCACAAGCTCCCCTTCCCCTGTTCTCCCAGAATAAGGAGGGAAGCAGAACAGAGACCAGAGGTGCTCAGGCGCAGTTTGAGGCGGCTTGGGAAACATCTGGGAGAGGAGGAGCCTTAGGTGGAAGGCAGGGACCTTCAGCCTGGCAACGGCTACATGGGGCCAAGACCTGCTGGGAAGGGTTGCTGCGACCACTAGGCCGAGTTGCCTGCCATTTCCTTGAATGAAGAGTTAACTTGGCCAGCATCTGCTCTGCCTCTTCATTCTGACCTGCATCTGACCAGGGGGGGGGGTGTCTTCCTTCCAGGGGGTGCCCTACTGCAGACCACCCTGTGTCCCTGGGCAACGGGACGGCCAGCAACGCCACAGCCCCGGAGCACTCCGTCCTGAGCTATGAGGACACCACCCTCTGGCCACTGGTCACCGTCAACTGCATCATCGCAGCCTTTGTCTTCTCCAAGGGGAGACCCTTCCGGAAGCCCATCTACACCAACTGTGAGTGGACAGGGAGGGGGCAGCGGACCCCCACGCCCTTTTCTGCCTTTTCGGTTCATGATGACTTCTGCCCCACCCAGCCCAGCAGAGACCCCAGAACCAGCCTTGCCAGGGGTCTGGTTGTGGGCATAGCCCAGAGACCTTTCCATGCATTGTCTCTTTGCTCCTCATCACACCCTGTGGAAGGAAGGAAGGGAGGGAGGGAGGGAGGGAGGGAGGGAGGGCTCATCAACATTGTCACTTGACCCATATTTTGACTGCATTGTGTACCAATTATTTTCCCCGAGTCCGAGAGCTTTTCTTGTTTTTCCATGGCTGGACCTTGTGAAAATCAGACCTTACCTGTTGAATTGAAGCTCAGGGGAGCAAGATTTCTGCTCAGATTTTCTGTGCACCAGACTAGGTCCAACGATTCAACGGGTTCAGTTCTTGGACTCAGGGGAATTAATCAGTGCAGGATGCGATCAAAATATGGGCCAGGCAAAAGTGGAAGGAAGGAAGGAAGGAAGGAAGGAAGGAAGGAAGGAAGGAAGGAAGGAAGGAGCCCATTGTGGTGGCAGCAGGAGCAGCCCCAGTGACCAGGGCCCCAGTGACCAGAGGTCCAGGGACACATGGGAACCTGCTTGGTTATAAGAATAACAATAACAATAAAACAATAACAATAACAATAATTTATTATTTATACCCCGTCCATCTGGCTGGGCTTCCCAAGCCACTCTGGGCGGCTTCCAGCCAAATATAAAAATACAGTAAAACATCAGTCATTAAGCTGATCAGCTTCTGATGTCTTCTAAAAGTCAGAGAGTTGTTTCTTTCCTTGACATCTGATGGGAGGGCGTTCCACAGGGAGGGCGCCACCACAGAGAAGGCCCTCTGCCTGGTTCCCTGTAGCTTTGCTTCTCGCAGGGAGGGAACCACCAGAAGGCGCTCAGCGCTGGACCTCAGTGTCCGGGCTGAACAATGGATGTGGAGACACTCCTTCCGATCCTGTTGTTGCCTCCCATCTCCCATTGCTCTTCCTGACGCTAGAGGCCCCCCGATTCCTGGGCTTCACTGGGGGCTCTTCTTGATTCCCAGATATCTTCTCTGGCCTGCTGTGTGTCCAGCTCGGAGTCTCCCTTTTCCTTTTCTTCGCTGACCTGGACCCCGTCTACATACGAATGGAGGTGAGTCGGGAGTGCCCAGCGGGAGACTCCAAGGGAGGGTGGGGGGTGAACCCGGAGCTCCCCCCAGCAGGAGGATATGGGCAGCTGGCACCAGATTGGAGCACCATGCTCTCTGCTTGGGGCAAAAGGCAGAGCCCTGGGCCGGGCTTCAGGGGTGTGGGGTGCGGAAGGAGGGGGCAGGTGCCAGGCAGGCTGACCTGAAGGCGCTGCGAAGCCTAACCAGCTTGCAACCTCTTTCCTCACAGTTTCTCTGCACCCCAACCATCTGGAGAGTGTATGTGCTGCTGATGCTGCTGGTGGCCTTCTCCGTCTCGTTCTTGGTGGAGGTGAGCAGGCGAGCGTGATTTCAGGAGTCTGGCTGCTGGCCCATCTAGCCCAATGTTGTCCACACGGACTGGCAGCAGCTGTCCACGGTTTCAGGCAGGGGTCTCTCGGTCCCAGCGGGGATTGAACCTGAGAGCTTCTGCTTGCAAGGCCAACGCTCAGCCTCTGAGCTACGGCTTTTCATTTCCCCAGGAACTGGCTCAGAGTTTTCCCTTCCAGCAGAGCGCTACCTACTCCCAGGGGTTGTGGGAACCTGCTGGTGGTGGTTCAGGGGATGTGGAGGGGATTTGGGGGGTTAAAGAGGGTCGGGAAAGCGATCCCTCGGGCTCAGCATCCTCCTCCTGCTCACCAACAGATGATGATGATGATGATTAATTAAATTGATATACTGCCCTTCATCTGAAAATCATAGGGCGGTTTACAACATAACAAATACAAAATGAAGACACAAAATCCTAATCCTAATAATGACCCCAATAACCCCCCTACCCCAAACACATTTTAAAGGGCATAGCATGTTGTTCATCCCAACGCCTGGTTGAAGAGGACCCTTTTCACCTGGTGCCTAAACATGTGTAATGGAGGTGCCAGGTGAACTTCCCTGGGGAGAGCATTCCACAAGCGGGGAGCCACCACAGAAAAGGCCCTGTTCTCATGGGGCCACCCCTCTTGCGGAGCAGGCACATGACAACGGGCCTCAGAAGATGATCTTAGGATCCAGGTCGCTTCACGTGGGGAATATTGTGGTCCTGAGCCATTTCAGGCTTTAGAGGTCAAAAGCGGCGCTTTGAATGATGCCCGGAAACTAAGTGGCAGCCGGTGCAGTCGGGCCAGGATCGGTGCAATAGCCTTAAATCATCTTGCCCCAGTGATTAAACTAGCCACTGAATTCCCAAAGCGGCAACTTTCCCCCCATAAAACGCTGCAGCCTCAATGCCTCCAGATGCTTTTGGGATCAGAGGCAGCTCTGCTTTGGAAGGCCAGGAGGCTTGAAAGATGCTCTTGCGCTCGGATCCTGCTTGTGGGTTTCGCTCAGGGGCATTTGGTCAGCCACGGTGAGAACAGGATGCTAGACTGGATGGGCCCCTTTCTCTTTTATATATATAAATTTTTATTAGTTTTTTAACATGTCATTTTCAACAGTAATTAAACATACTTTTACATCTTCTTCAGTTTTTTTGACTTCCATCAGTCCTGCCTGAAAATTTTCCGATCTAATCTCTTAGTATGCATTTCTTATCTTCCCTATTACATTTCAAACTCATAACCAATATCTCTATCTTTTTCTACTTTGTAACACTTTGTATATTTCTCCTTACAAAACGTCTTGTAGTCCTACTAGCGTAATTTGTTGATTACAGTTGTTCTTCAAGTAATTCATATACTTATTCCAATCTTCTGTAAATCTCTGGTCCCGCAGGTTTCGAATCCTTCCTGTCATTTTGTCCAATTCTGCATAGTCCATTCTGCCATTTTCTTGCTTCCATTTCTGGGCTAACAATACTCTTGCCGCTGTTGTTGCATATAAGAACAGTTTGACATCTTGTCTATTAATATCTTGGCCTACCGGTAAAACTCGGAAAATTAGAATATTGTGGAAAAGTTCATATATTTCAGTAATTCAACTTAAAAAGTGAAACTAATATATGAGATAGACTCATACCATGCAAAGCGAGATATGTCAAGCCTTTATTTGTTATAGTTGTGATGATCATGGCGTACAGCTGATGTAAACCCGAAATTAACAATCTCAGAAAATTAGAATATTAAATGAAATCAACAAAACAAGGATTGCAAATAGAGCAATATTGGACCTCTGAGAAGTAGAAGCATGCATATGTTCTCAGTACTTGGTTTGGGCCCCTTTTGCATCAATTACTGCCTCAATGCGGCGTGGCATGGATGCTATCAGCCTGTGGCACCGCTGAGGTGTTATGGAAGACCAGGAAGCTTCAATAGCAGCCTTCAGCTCTTCTGCATTGCTCGGTCTCATGTCTCTCATCTGTCTCTTGGCAATGCCCCATAGATTCTCTATGGGGTTCAGGTCAGGTGAGTTTGCTGGCCAATCAAGCACAGTAATCCCATGGGCATTGAAGCAGGTTTTGGTACTTTGGCAGTGTGGGCAGGTGCCAACGTCCTGCTGGAAAATGAAGTCAGCATTAGAATTAATATTCTAATTTTCTGAGACTGTTAATTTGGGGTTTTCATCAGCTGTAGGCCATAATCATCAAAAATACAACAAATAAAGGCTTGACATATCTCGCTTTGCATGTCATGAGTCTATCTCATATATTAGTTTCACCTTTTAAGCTGAATTACTGAAGTAAAAGTTCATTTCCGAGTTTCACCTGTATAATACCAGGTAAAAATGCTTCTGGTTTTTTTTTAAGAATGGATGGGCCCCTTTCTCATGCTCCCCTGTTCTTTGCAGGACGGCATCCTCCAGAACCACCGCCTCTGGCTTCTGATCAAGGCCCTCTTCCGCTTCCGCTCCTCCAGCAAGTACCGGAAGCTGCAGCGGCAGCTGGAGGAGGACGCAAAGTGGCCGCCCACCAGCCAGAAGGACTTTGCAGAAGAGCCCAAGAGTGGTGCTTACGTCAACCCCGTCTATGATGAGGCGGGAGAGAACTAGCTGGGGAGGCCGCAGGCTGGCCCAGGAGGACTTGCCAAAAGGGACTTTTTGTGTGCAGAGAGACTGATGGAAACCCACGGGAGATCGTGCTCCTAGGAAGCCCCTCTGACGGTGCGCACAGAGCCTGCCTTTGCTCATCCAGCTCAAGGAGGTTTGTCCCCTGCCAGGGGGGCATTTTGCTGTTGGCTCTGCCTGAGTGGGGAAATCTAGGGCTTGATCCCTGTGCCCACGCAAGGGATCCCAGCCTCTTCCACGGGGACCAGGCTGCTCCAGCGGAAGGGACACACGAGGGAACACCATCCGCCGTGTGGAAAACAAAGACAACTCTGTATTTTTGCTTTCCAAAAGAGAATAAAGTGGGGGTTTTTTTCTTTTGTGATTGTTGCCAGCCATTTATTTGGAGTTCTGCTGCTTGCAAAAATGTGCCGCAGAGTTGGTGCATCTGTGTGTATATGGAGGGCAGGACAAGATTTGTGGGGTTTGGGGAGGAGAGGGAAGACTTCACGGGCATTAAGATGAACGTCATTGAGTTGTTGGGTTGGAAGGGACCCCAAGGGTCATCTAGTCCAACCCCCTGCAAGGCAGGAATCTCAGCGACAGAATCCCTGAGAGATGGTCATCAAACGTCTGCTTAAAAGCTTCCAAGGAAGGAGAGTCCTTCATCTCCCAAGGTCATCCGTTCCACTGTCAAACAGCAATCACTGTCAGAAGCCTATTCTTGATGTTGGGTCGGAATCGCCCTTTTTGTAACTTGAAGCCCTGGGTTCGGGTCCTGCCTTCTGAGGCAGCAGAAAACCTTCCAAGGGGCAGTCCTTGAAGTGTTTGAAGACACTGGCTCTCGTCCTGCCTCTCAGTCTCCTTTTCTCCAGGCTTATCCCGACCCGACTCCTAATAAGGCTTCGGTCCTAAATTCAGTAATTCTCTCTCAAACAGTCAGAAAGTTGGTGTTTAGCGTGCTCATCCTCTGTGTAAAAATTCAAGGGTCTCAAATATAGAATAGGTAAAGGTAAAGGGACCCCTGACCGTTAGGTCCAGTCGTAGCTGACTCTGGGGTTGCGGCGCTCATCTCGCTTTACTGGCCGAGGGAGCCGGCGTACAGCTTCTGGGTCATGTGGCCAGCAGGACTAAGCCACTTCTGGAAAACCAGAGCAGCACTCGGAAACAGCGTTTACCTTCCCGCCGGAGCGGTACCTATTTATCTACTTGCACTTTGACGTAGAATCATAGAATCATAGAGTTGGAAGAGACCACAAGGGCCATCGAGTCCAACCCCCTGCCAAGCAGGAAACACCATCAGAGCACTCCTGACATATGGTTGTCAAGCCTCTGCTTGAAGACCTCCAAAGAAGGAGACTCCACCACACTCCTTGGCAGCAAATTCCACTGTCGAACAGCTCTTACTGTCAGGAAGTTCTTCCTAATGTTTAGGTGGAATCTTCTTTCTTGTAGTTTGGATCCATTGCTCCGTGTCCGCTTCTCTGGAGCAGCAGAAAACAACCTTTCTCCCTCCTCTATGTGACATCCTTTTATATGTTTGAACATGGCTATCATATCACCCCTTAACCTCCTCTTCTCCAGGCTAAACATGCCCAGCTCCCTTAGCCGTTCCTCATAAGGCATCGCTTCCAGGCCTTTGACCATTTTGGTTGCCCTCCTCTGGACACGTTCCAGTTTGTCAGTGTCCTTCTTGAACTGTGGTACCCAGAACTGGACACAGTACTCCAGGTGAGGTCTGACCAGAGCAGAATACAGTGGCACTATTACTTCCCTTGATCTAGATGCTATACTCCTATTGATGCAGCCCAGAATTGCATTGGCTTTTTTAGCTGCCGCGTCACACTGTTGGCTCATGTCAAGTTTGTGGTCAACCAAGACTCCTAGATCCTTTTCACATATACTGCTCTCAAGCCAGGTGTCTCCCATCTTGTATTTGTGCCTCTCATTTTTTTTTGCCCAAGTGCAATACTTTACATTTCTCCCTGTTAAAATTCATCTTGTTTGTTTTGGCCCAGTTCTCTAATCTGTCAAGGTCGTTTTAAAGTGTGATCCTGTCTTCTGGGGTGTTAGCCACCCCTCCCAATTTGGTGTCATCTGCAAATTTGATCAGGATGCCCTTGAGTCCATCATCCAAGTCGTTGATAAAGATGTTGAATAAGACTGGGCCCAAGACAGAACCCTGTGGCACCCCACTAGTCACTCTTCTCCAGGATGAAGAGGAACCATTGATGAGCACCCTTTGGGTTCGGTCAGTCAGCCAGTTACAAATCCACTGAGTGGTAGCATAGTCAAGACCGCATTTTACCAGCTTCTTTACAAGAATATCAAATGCCTTGCTGAAATCAAGGTAGGCTACATCCACTGCGTTCCCTTCATCTACCAGGCTTGTAATTCTGTCAAAAACGAGATCAGGTTAGTCTGACATGACTTATTTTTCAGAAATCCATGCTGACTATTGGTGATCACAGCATTCCTTTCTAGGTGCTCACAGACTGTTTGCTTAATGATCTGCTCCAGAATCTTCCCTGGTGTTGATGTCAGACTGACTGGGCGGTAATTATTTGGGTCCTCTCTTTCCCCTTTTTGAAAATAGGGACAACATTTGCCCTCCTCCAGTCTGCCGGGACTTCGCCTGTTCTCCAGGAATTCTCAAAGATGACTGCCAGTGGTTCTGAGATCACATCTGCCAGTTCTTTTAATACTCTTGGATGCAGTTCATCTGGCCCTGGAGACTTGAATAAATCTAAACTAGCCAAGTATTCTTGTACTATCTGCTTAGTTATTCTGGGCTGTGTTTCCTCTGCTGAATCATTTGCTCCAAATTCTTCAGGTCGGGCATTGTTTTCTTTATCGGAGAAGACTGAGGCAAAGAAGGCATTGAGGAGTTCAGTCCTTTCTGTGTCCCCTGTTTACATTTCACCATCTACTCCTCTGAGTGACCCCACTGTTTCTTTGTTCTTCCTTTTGCTACGAACATACCCATAAAAGCCTAATAATAAAAGTTAACTCGGGGGCTAAACTACATTTGGGGGCGCTGGCTGGATCTTTGCACCCCAGCGGTGCATATGCTAAAGACAGCCGTGCACAGAAGCATCGTGAGATGGAGGCGTGGGGCTCCATGGGCCGTTGGGCAGGAGCGACGGGAGCCGTTACACAAAGGAGAGTTGCCAAGAGAGGTGCCTACCTGTGTCATAAGCCCAGGCATCCCTAGTAAGGGTTGGAACTCTGTCTTCTGCCCTGCTAGGAGAGATGTAAGCAGATTAGGTCAGGTGTAGGCAGACTTGCAGGAATCGCTTTGCTTTTTTAATTAGAACCCAGAGATCTAACAACCAGAGTCAGGTATAAATGACACACTCAGAGAATGAAGAAAGCTTCAGGCTAGGAATGTGGGCTTGTTTTGACTACCAGGACAGAAGGCAACTCACAGTATCTCCACTCAAAACCCCGACAGTTCTTCCATATTTTTCGCTCTATAAGATGCACCAGACCATAAGACGCACCTAGTTTTTGGAGGAGGAAAACAAGAAAAAAATATTCTGAATCCCAGAAGCCAGAACATCAAGAGGGATAGCCTCTTGCTGTTCTGGCTTCTGGCATAGCCACGTGAAGCCTCTCCCGGGCAGAGGGATGAAGGCCCCCCCTGCCCAGAAGAGGCTGCGCGTGGCTACGCTGCCCTCTCCCTTCGCCCACCTCCCGCAAAAGCCAGCCAAGAGCTGTGTGCTCTTTAAAGGGAGCATGGCTCTTGCGGGCTTTTCTACAAGGTGGGAGAAGGACAGCCCGTCAGTGATGAAGTCTCCCTGCTGCCCTGCGGAGGCTTTGCATGGCTAAGCTAGAAACTAGAACAGTGATCTCTCTCGCTGTTCTGTCTTCTGGGATAGCTGCGCAGCCTGCATTCGCTCCATAAGATGCACACACATTCCCCCTTACTTTTTAGGAGGGAAAAGGTGCGTCTTATAGAGCAAAAAATACGGTAATTTAGGGCAGGAGGAATTTTGGATTGAAGGAGGGGAGTGTAAACGTGGCACTTTGATACCAGGGGCTTTGAATGGATGTATGGACAGCAGACACCCCCCCCCCAAGGAATGCCTGCCTGGGCTCTCCCTCTGTCTTCGCTACATTTCTCCAATCTTAAAACAGCTGCAGAAAATCTTTCTTTTCTCCATCATCAGGTCTAGGCAAATCCCACTCGTGGCATTGGAGCAAAACCATGTGCAGCTGGCCCTGGACTGAAGCTGTTAATGGTGACAGTGCTTAAAAACAATAGGGGAGGGAAGGTGGGTGGGTGGGGAGAAGCAGCTCCCCCCCCCAACCTCCTGCCTTAGCAGAGAAAAATTGTTTGGGGAGGGGGCAATTTGGAGCAAAGAAACTGTAAGCATGGGAAGGGTAAATCACTGCACCTCTCCCCTTCTTCTCCTTTAAAGCCCCTCCCCTGCAAAAGAGCTGTTGTTTTTTTTTGCTGTTGTTTTACAGAAAGGTGTAAACAACTATTTATATTTATACCCCACCTTATGTGACTGTTCAGTTTGCCTCCAAGGATTTAACAAGGGGTTGTTCATATCATTCCTTCACACCTTATGACATCATACATTTGTCTTCCAGATGCCGCAAGAGACTATGTTAAATGTGAGGAGAGCTGAAGCTCTTTCACGGTGGGGACCGTTAGCCATGAATATTTGCTCTCTGCAACCGTATGCAGACTGCTAACTAGCGGAATGCAAAATGTACATTGCCAGCTATCCATATAAAAGCATCTGCGGTTATTTATTTATTAACAATATTGACATAACCATCCAACTTGATCGACTCCAAGGAAGGATACAATGCACAACAGAAGCAGAACATGCAATCCCATAAAAAAAGAGAAAGAAACACAACTCTTTTGTGCCCAGGAGTCTAAAGCTGCCTGTTCAAGCAAGAAGTCAAGAAGCAGAAATAATAGAACAGGCAGAAGGATTTGACATAATGGGTAACTTGGCTGTTGACTCGGCGGAAGGGATGGAAATGTCCTCTTTCCAAAGTACATCCAGGGTCCGCCTTGGACTTGGACTTGGAACAGGATGATTCCCGCTCCTCGACACGCACAGTGGAAAAGTGCATTTTATGTTTGGCAGGAGGATAGTGAACTCAGGATGTGGGAGACAGAATAACTTACCCTTTGATATCCGTCACCGAGAGGCAGAGGAGAAACCCGATAATCTGGAGAGACTGCAGGGTTTCCATGCTGCATTGGATGAACAAAAAACTCTTTCTGGTGCCTCAACATAATCTTAATCCATCGCCTTTGCAAGCCAGGAGCAGAGTGAGAACGTCACCTGTCACAGCCACGGTATCAGAGTCACCTGTCCGTAAGAGGAGCTGGGCTGAGCGGAGGCGGCCATAAAAACCCGTCTTGGCAGGTGTGAGCAAGCGGAAAAGGGGAAGGTGGCTGTTAGTTTTCACTCAGAAAGACCCCTTCTTTCTGCCTACCCTCTCAGGACCAGGGTCCCAATGCAGAGTGAAGTTTTAAGTTGGGCTTGGTGGCCAAATCTAGAAGGATGACTAAGAACCCAAAACCCCACTCCACCTGTGCAGATCTCCCAGGAAGCTGCTGTTCCCACTGGATTTGCACCTGTTCAACCGAGTCTCATGAAAGTTCCAGTGCATACAGATCCTTCAAGTTGTGGGTGTCGGGAAAGCACAACGTTTTAAGTTACAGTGTGTGTGTGTGTGTGTAAGAGGGCTGAATTCACTAGATTTTTTTGACACACAGCCAAATCACACATACACACAAGCTCATTTACATGGGTTCCAACAGAGAGAACGGTCGTGTGGTCTGACCCTGCCATCAATGGCGTTACAAGGCTCACTGTTTTCCCTGAACGGCAGCATCCCTCCAGACAGGATCTCAAAAGGGGGAGATGGTCTCTCTCAGGCCAACGTTGCCCCCCGGGGCCCTCCAGTTGTATTGGACTACAACTTCCGTCAGCCCTGGGCAGCCAAAATATCTGGAGGGCACCAGGTTGGAGAGAGGTGCCTCAGGCCAATGGCTAGCTGGGTCACAAGTTTCCAGAACATGCAAGTTGCCTTCAGGCAGAAATGAGCAGGACTCTCTTTGATCCAGAGCCCCTTTGCCAGCCCTAGGGATGTGGGACACTGGGCTCCTCCTGTTTATTGATCGTTCATCCTGAATTGCTTCCTGCGGTATATTTGCATGTCTTCCTGTCGGTCGTTTATTCACCTCATGAAATAAAAATAATGCCCGACTGGTAAGCTAGTGATGTATGGAAGTGAGAACTGGACCATAAAGAAGGCTGATTGCCAAAGATTTGATGCTTTCGAATTCTGGTGCTGGAGGAGACTCTTGAGAGTCCCATGGACTGCAAGAAGATCAAACCTCTCCATTCTTAAGGAAATCAGCCCTGAGTGCTCACTGGAAGGACGGATCCTGAAGCTGAGGCTCCAATACTTTGGCCACCTCATGAGAAGAGAAGACTCCCTGGAAAAGACCATGATGTTGGGAAAGATGGAGGGCACAAGGAGAAGGGGACGACAGAGGACGAGATGGTTGGACAGTGTTCTCGAAGCTACCAGCATGAGGGAGGCAGTGGAAGACAGGAGTGCCTGGCGTGCTCTGGTCCAGGGGGTCACGAAGAGTCGGACACGACTAAACGACAAAACAACAACAAAGCAAGCTGGGTGGCTCCTGTTCCTCTTGGTTATGTAAGATGGAGAGAAGCATCTTCTTCTCCTCGATTCTGTTGGAGACATCTTCAAAATTTTCCAGCAGGACTACCTGTCAAATAAAGGAAGAGGAGATGTGGGGGGAGTACGCTTTGTGCTCAGTGACTGCGCAGCCCTTTCCTGCAGCTCAGGTGCTTTTCCTTTCATCATGGTCCGGAGCTGGTGGTGGATGGAAGAGACAGATCAGCCTCGCTTGCCACTGGGGCTCTGCCTCTTCACTTCCCAGAGTGTTCTCTTTTGAACTACGGCACATGGAAGCCTTTGCCAACCGGCTGCCCTCCAGGTATCCCCAGACCAAAACACCCATCAGCCCTTGCCAGAACCCACAGGGACCCTCCTACGGCATGGCTCACTTTGATTTTGTTTGCAGTCTCTGCGCTCTCTCTTTAAAGTGTTTTTTAAATTAAATTCTATTCATATAGCACAAATAACAAAAGAGAAACACATAAAAACTGAACCGAATAAAGGCTGGCACGTGAAGTTACATTAAATAATAATAATAATAATAATAATAATAATAATAATAATAATTTATTATTTATACCCTTTCCATCTGGCTGGGCTTCCCCAGCCGCTCTGGGCGGCTTCCAACAAAATATTAATATACAGTAATGCATCAAACATTAAAAGCTTCCCTAAACAGGACTGCCTTCAGAAAAAATGATGACGCTAGTTATCCAGATCTCTGCAATAGGATACAGACAGGTGAGATGAAAGTGCCATCATGAGAAATGAGAGAACAGCAGGTGTGGCCAACTCTGCATTATAAATACGGGGATGAATAATATCTGAATATGTCTGCAAACGTGACAGAAGGCTGGCAACACCAATTCCCACCATGTGGGAATCAGACAACCACAGTGCTTGGAAATAGGCAGTCAGGTTGTGCATCCATAGCAGTGAGCAGAGGAGGAATGACCGCTGGAAGGGGCACAGAGAGAAGAAACGCCGTGGTGCATCTGCGGCAGCACAACCGGACACCTTCATCTGCCCCAGATGCAACAAAACAGGTCTCTCCCATATCATTCTCTGCAGTCACAGAAGATGCTGCAACCTTAAAATAAAAAAATTCCTTCCAGTAGCACCTTAGAGACCAACTAAGTTTGTTATTGGTATGAGCTTTCGTGTGCATGCACACTTCTTCAGATACCATGTGCATATCAGTGTGGATGCACACGAAAGCTCATACCAATAACAAACTTAGTTGGTCTCTATGGTGCTACTGGAAGGAATTTTGTTGTTGTTGTTGTTTTGACTACGGCAGACCAACACGGCTGTTGTTGTTTAGTCATGTCCAACTCTTCGTGCCCCCCTGGACCAGAGCACGCCAGGCACTCCTGTCTTTCACGGCCTCCCGCAGTCAAACTCATGCTGGTAGCTTCAAGAACACTGTCCCACCATCTCGTCCTCTGTCGTCCCCTTCTCCTTGTGCCCTCCATCTTTCCCAACATCAGGGTCTTTTCCAGGGAGTCTTCTCTTCTCATGAGGTGGCCAAAGTCTAGGAGCCTCAGCTTCACAATTTGTCCTTCCAGTGAGCTAGACCTACCTGTAACTAGAACCTTCAAACAGTTTGACCTCAGCCCCAAAAGTGCACTCCTCTGTTGTCTCCCAAGACAGGCAGATGCCAACAATCCCAAATTAATTGAGAGACATGTGAAAGAGACAAATGTGACCTCTCTTTTTTATCCATTCAATAAAAGCCCACCAAACTGAGACAAAAGATGTTACCTTTGCTTTTCCTTTCAAAAACCGGGTGTACCAGGTCAGTTTTTCATGTCGTGCAATTTCCCATCTATTGCTCCACCACAATTTCTGCTGCTGAACGCGCTCTTGAGACTGACAAGGCAGCATCCAAAAAAGGAATGGAAAGCAAAAGGCTGCCACCTGCTGGCTCGAAAACAGCAGAACCTCCTCATTTGAACAACAACAACAACAAAGACTCCTAAAACATTGAGACGACACAAGAAATGCGATGAGGACACTTGTACACCGGCAAGTGGACCTGGAGAAGTTGCTTACTCTTGGGTTTCTGCCACAAGATCATGTCACGCTGAAGACACCCCAGGGTTCCCAGGGTTCACAGATCAATGGAAAGGGTTTGCCAACCCCTGGAACACAATGTGGGTCCATCGCCTTAGGAAGCCAGTAGCAGAATGAGAGCAGCACAGGGGACACACCGGGAAAGTAAGGGTAACACAGAAGAGCAGAGGCAGGCATGAACTTCTCCCTCTGGCCAGTGGTGAATAAACAGGACATTTTCAACCTGGAGACAGTTTTCTTATCTGCTTCCCTTGCAGTAGACATGCAGCAAAGGTCCAGGTCCAGAACCATAATAGTGGTTTTTTAAAGCAACAACAACAACCCAGAAACAACTATTTTCTTGTAATTGCTGACGAGATGCATCACCATCAAATCTGTGATGGCCTGGGACTCGGAACCAGAGGAGTCTCAGTCTGCACCAGATCCTTTGCCTCAGGCATCACCTGAACCAAGTCTGGGGCCTGATCCTGAAGAGTCCCAGTCTGCACAGGTTCCCCTGCAACAAGCACCAGCTGGGCTGAGTCAGGGGCCTGAGCCTGCCCTGGCTCCAGATGCGGGGATGACCTCCTTGCCTCCAGCTGGGCCATCACTTACATCTGCTCCACTACCGGTTGGGTCAGGGGAGTCTGAGGCGGCCCCTGGGTCTAGTAACCCACCGACGTCTCCTGAGCTGCAGAGACTCAGGTCTGAGAGAAGGAGAGAGCTGAGTACTCGCAGGACGAGTGCTCGCCTTCGGGCGAAACAGGGAGGTGAGTCACCGGGGGATCAGGACCGGCCGTTACCCTGACAAAGATAAAAGGCTGTTGGACCCCGACGCAGGTTGCGGGAGCAACATTGCTGTATGCTAGATCCTGCCTGAGATCCTATACCTGTCCTTGCCTGGTTTCCTGCCTTGTGTCCTGCCTCGGCCCTGTCGGACTGAATCCTTTGGATTCTGGTCCGGTCCTGGACCACGTTTCATGAGTTATTTGAAAGCTAATAAATAAATAATTTAAGAATAAATTTTATTTGTATCCCGCCCTCCCCGGCCAAAGCTGGGCTCAGAGCTGCTAACATCATATAAATAAGACAATGTGCATAATACAAGCGATCAATCAATTAAGATACATCCCACAATCAATTCAAACAATTAAAATTAAAACTGGACAAGTGGCAATCTTCAGGTTAAAATTGAAAGCGGTTAATACTCACCAAGACCAACTGTTTCCACTGATATTATATAAATAAGGATGGTTAGGAGTGCATCCTTAAGGATTTGAGCTCCTTTGCTGTGAGTGAGATTGCATTGTGTAGGACCAGGGCTGAGGTTCTTGTGAGCTTCCATCTCCAGCTGCGAGGTTTTGCTAGGCAAGGCAAGAACACGTGGCTCTCACCTCCGGAAATGTGTGTGATCTCTGATGTTCATCGATGTGTCCTTGAGATTAAAAGCTTTGAAAATGACTTGTTCCTCATTATGTTAACCTTCCATGAACAAGAAACCATGTTCCATAATGGATCTGCCCACCTCCCTGTTCCCATTAGGGCTGGCACAAAACAAGAGGATTCTGAGATAAGAGACAAACTTTGTTCTGTCTGGAGTAGCAGAGAGGGGCGTGGGTCTCTGGTGCGAACTCTAATGGTCCCGCAACGGCACGTGGATTGGAAGGGAAAATGGCCCATGCTCAATTGCGCAGGAAACATGTGCTCTGAGCACATAGGAAACAGTTGGAGTTTCTAAAGGATGGGGAGGAAAACAAAAGCCTCTTGCAACCTTTGCAAACCTCAGCTACTTCCCCGTGAGACATGAGATCACTGGAGCGGCTCACAAGATAATGAAGGGGGGAAATGGTGGTTTTCTGATCGGGAACTGCAAAACACCTCCTTTCAATGATACAGTAACGGGATGAAATGTGAGAAATTTTTTTTGGCAGAGAACAGAAATACAGATTAATCAATCTAAGGGTCATATCTTTTCCGATGGTTGTCCTGATACACTGAGAAAGAACAGAAATTGTAAACTTCTGTTTTTAAAGTTTGATTTTTTTTAAAAAAAAGATTATAGATGGGCAAACTTTTTCTGTTCAAGGGCCACATTCCCTCGTGAGCAACCTTCTGAGGGCCACATTCCTGTGGTGGGAGGGGCCAGAGACAAGAGTGGGCGGAGCAATGGACGCAACTCTTGCCTCTGGTTTTTTTTAATAATGTATTTTTATTAAAGATTTTCTTGGTTTACAAAGGTATGTGCAATGTCTCTCTCTCGTATTTTTTCCCCACATAACAATTTTTTATTTTTATTTTTTACAAGTCAGCTTCATTTGTTGAGACATTAGAAAGAAAAGGGGGAAGGAGGTGGAGGGAGGAAAGATGGGTGGGGGTGGGGTCGGGTGGCGATGTTTCTATTTCACTTACTATTTGTAGCGTTTGGTGTCAGCGTTGCTTGTGCAGGTTCTTTGCTGTTCACTTGTGTTCCTTTGGTGGTGAGAGAGGTTGGGGTTGGCCTAGGGTGTGGTTGTTCAATTGTGGTTGGCTGGGGTGGTCTTTGTTTTCGTGTGTGAGTAGGGTGGGTGGGTGTTTCGGATCAGGTTAGCCATATTGATTCGTATGCTGTTGGTGGATTTTTGTCGTTGTCTTGTTGGGCTGTGTATGTGTTATGCACTGAGTTGAATAGGATCCAAAAGGCAGCAGTCTGATTGGTCCTAGAACAATGCAGCAGTCTGATTGGTCCGCAGGAGCCACCCAATCCAGCTCCAGGTAGAAGTGAATCCGCAACCTGATTGGCCTACAGGAGAATCCCTGAATTAGCCAATCACGTGCGGCCCATTGTGTAAATAATGTATATAAAGCAGATATTTTGGGGAAACTTTCATTCCTCGCTACTATGAGCATGAAATCCACTCTCGACTCTGAGTATATTTCAGTATGTGATAAAGGGGAGCCATACCAGGGTGAAGGCATCTTCTTCTATTTGTCCCCGTGTCAGTTTCAGTTTATTGGTTAATTTTTCTAGTAGGGCTGTTTCCCATACTATTTGGTACCATTGGTCCATGCTTACTCCTGACAGGTCTCTCCAGTGTCTGGTTATGATGTTTCTGGCTGCTGAGAGCAGGTGGGTTATGAGTTCTTTGTGGTGTAAGTGGTGTAAGTGGGCATTGTTGTCTTGGAAGATGTTTAGTAGGGCCAACTCTGCATTGCCTCTGTAATGCAGGGCTGCATTCCAGCCACAGAAAAGCCAGAGGTTTCTGCCACCACAACCCACCTAGGGACTTTCCAACCTCCTTCCAGGCAAGCAGGAGACATTATCACAATTTGGGGGCACAATTCCAGGCACACAAAAACACTCAAGGAGGTCCACAGCAGGACGAGTGATGGGTACAGGGAGATGGTTGTGGCCAAGGAAGGCCAATTCGTCTTGGAGCTGAGTCTACAAACTGACCTCCTGGCTACAACAGCCTCATTTTCATCCTGGCTGCTCACTGCCTGGTTTTGTGTGACAACTCGCCTGATGAAGAGTTCTACACAACTTGAAAGCTTGCACCACATTTGTGGCCTTTAGGTTAAACTAAGAAAATGATGTATGGAAGTGAGAGCTGGACCGTAAAGAAGGCTGATCGCCAAAGAATTGATGCTTTTGAATTATGGTGCTGGAGGAGACTCTTGAGAGTCCCATGGACTGCAAGAAGATCAAACCTCTCCATTCTGAAGGAAATCAGCCCTGAGTGCTCACTGGAAGGACAGATCCTGAAGCTGAGGCTCCAAGACTTTGGCCCCTCTTGAGAAGAGAAGACTCCCTGGAAAAGACCCTGATGTTGGGAAAGATGGAGGGCACAAGGAGAAGGGGACGACAGACGATGAGATGGTTGGACAGTGTTCTTGAAGCTACCAGCGTGAGTTTGACCAAACTGCGGGATGCAGTGGAAGACAGGGGTGCCTGGCGTGCTCTGGTCCAGGGGGTCAGGAAGAGGCGGACACAACTAAACGACTAAACAGCAACAACAAGAAACTGGCGCTGTGGTCTAAACCACTGAGCCTCTTGGGTTGCCGATCATAAGGTCGGCGGTTTGAATCCCCGCAACAGGGTGAGCTCCTGTTGCTCGGTCCCTGCTCCTGCCAACCTAGCAGTTTGAAAGCACGTCAAAGTGCAAGTAGATAAATAGGTACCGCTCCGGCGGGAAGGTAAACGGCGTTTCCGTGCGCTGCTCTGGTTTGCTAGAAGCAGCTTAGTCATGCTGGCCACATGACCCGGAAGCTGTACGCCGGCTCCCTCAGCCAGTAAAGCGAGATGAGTGCCGCAACCCCAGAGTCGTCTGCAACTGGACTTAACTCTCAGGGGTCATTTACCTTTACCTTTAAGAAAGGTATTGCCCACTTGTGGATTTTAGGAGTGTGTGTGTATTCTTATGGACCGAGGCAGCTAAGCCTGGTTTTCCTTGAGCTCCAGCCCCAGGGATCACAGCCCCAGATCCCTTCCTTGCTCAGTTGCTACCAGCTGAGACCTCAGCAGTGCATGGTCAAGCAAGAATGGTTTGCCTTCATCTAGTGAGTCACATTTTCCACTGGATTTGTGCAGTTTGGATCGATCCTTTCGGAGCCCCTTCTGCAGTCGCTGTCTGTTTTTACCACTCTGAATAGTGGTCGCTCTTGCCTTTTCAAAGGCTGTGATCCTGCGACCGACATGCTTCTCTGCCCTTCTCTCTTCCCCATGAAAGAAAGAAAGAAAGCCACCTCTGGACTCCAGCCAGGCTGAAGGCCTGTAGAGGCGGCAGCAGCTCAGTCCCTGAGCGACATGCATAATTCATCCAGCAGCAAGTGGCAGTTTTGCTCCTGGGGCTTTTCCAAGACCCTCCGTACGGGAGGCACCAGG